CAGTGAACTTGGCCCAATGTAGACGCCACTACATAGTGATTGCAAGTGTGTCTGCCAATACCCAAATAAACAGTCAATGACCCAGTAGCGTCTGATTACATGTGGTCCCACTCATATAGATTTATGTGTGGGTGAGATTGCATGTCGAGTTCTCTATCTCATAATCAGTCTGCCTCCATGTACGCATACATTGTAGATCATGGATGCTGCCACTGTCGCCATACGTTGCGATGCGAACTGCTGTCCAAATTCAAATAGCGTGTTTACAGAGTAGTGGAAATCAAATTGTGAGTTTGGGGATGTAATCAAAGACAGAGATTTTCTGTATAAGGAAAATCAAGCAAGTGAGAATGGAAAAGAGAATGTAGATCTCCTATCCCGGGCTTACTTTCCATGCAAAGACAAGTTCATGAAAATGTAACGCATTGTAAAATAGGGGGGGGGGGTGGAACTACCCTTTGATTTGTCCAATAATCTCTTGGTTGGAATAGAGAAAAGAGCTTGAACATGTAATACCCTTTTATTTAAAAAATGGCGAACTTGTCTAATGATGGACCAAAAGCTTCCCAGATTTTCTGGTCTATAATTTTTAACAGTCTGTAGTCCAAGCTGGCATGTCTTGAGACTATGTCCTTGTCTTTTCTTCCAGGGGCCATGATCATGCCCTTTTCCCAGGGGCTGTGATAATGCCCTTATCTCCAGGGGCCTTTCCCCAGGGGCCATGTTGTGCCCTTCTCCCAGGGGCTAGGTCGCGACCTTACAAGCAGATTTACTCAAGGTCATTCAGCTGGCAGACTGCAGTCTATTTATAGAGCAAGGGTTTGTTTGTGTTTCCCACTCTGCTGAGTGACCTTTGACATCTGAGGTAGAGATGAATTCAGTTCATGATGCCCTCTGTGTTGCTCTGTAACAAAATGTGAAAAAACTTGAATTAAATTCTTCTGTGGAAGTGCAGTTTTGATGCAAGGGATTTCTTACTGATAAAAATAATGGTACTGTGGAAGATGTCATCTTTTTTTCCAGGCTACATTTTGCGTAGATACAATCGACCACATAAATGTTGTATACATGTAGCTGTTTTGCATCTTGTTTTAAAGCAGGGTGCTGATTCGTAGAAGCTTCTTACTGGTAATATTGGTAGGGATATAGCGAGATAGGAAGTTAAAACTCCTATTCAGACTGAGCTGAACTCATATCAATATTATCTTCAATCCATTGGAGATGATTTTGGTTTCTCAATAGGCTTTAAATACAAATTATTATCAATGGCTAGTTCCAGAAAGAATGATTTACCCTACACACCCTAAAAATAATAATGACACACAAATCATTCATTATATTATGGATTTTATTGTGTACATATATACATGTATATGCAGAGAAAAGAAGAATAAATGATGGGGAAAAAAGCACATGGTCTTTAAACTGTTGCCTATAGGAACCTGTTGAAAAGAGGGAATTCATTAGTTCATGGGTTAAGATGTGTGGAACCCAGCAGCTAATATGTTAAAGCTCATGTTAATACATAGACTGACTGTTGCTTCCCCTCAGGTTCACTGCCCGACCATTACAATGAATAAAGAGTAACTTGATTGATGATAAAGGGATAATACACGAGGAGGATAATGAATCTCACATCCTTTAGTAGCGCTCGAGTGTGGTTAGAAAACCATCTTGAATGAATTATCTGGTCTGTAAATGATGGAAATTCATTTATATTTACTTTCTATGTGTACCAGTATGTGTAATCAGGTTTGAAGATGAACCTGTAGAAGTTGATAACTATCAGTATCACTGATTTATATATAGATTATAGCCTTATTTTTTTTTAATGCTTATCATCTATCTGCAAATTTCTAAAATGTTATTTATCTATTTATTTATATATCATACAAACTTTATATATCGTGTTGTAAAGTTTGGGTTTTATAAATATTTTCAATCTTATAACTCGAAAGCTAAAACTGAACAGAAAAGGACACAAATATGTTGAAATTACGTTTGTGAGATGATTATTATTCATTCAGAACCTGTCTGTGGGAATTTTGATCTTGATGCAAGCTGAGGTTTATTTAGTGGTCACTATGCATTATTTATACATCAACCAATATATTGAATTTGTAACTTGAGTAGATATGATATGAGCCCCTCACAGACTTCATCTCAGCTTATCTGTAACATGACATCAAGAGAGAGGATATAAATGTACGTGGGTTTGCCGAGGCATAGCTGTAGGTTCAATGGCCGATCATAATACAAAGAATAACATCACAGTGTCGAGCAATGACTACAAAGTGAACATGAATGAAATCATCTGAGATTTGCATTAGTGCATGAGTCTGTTCTTATATCCAGATGTTGGAGCTTGGAGTTGAATCAAAAGAAGAAGAGTTGGTATCAAATTTACTTGTGATTTTTGTTTTTGATCCCCGGAGCTGATGTCAAAAACTATCAGTTGAAAAGATCTACCAGGAAAGATGATAGCTTTATAAACAGTGTACTGTTGAAAACATATCATAAATATCTTATTGACTGAGATAAAAAAGAAAGATTGTCTTGGCTTGGCTGTAGACTAGACATGCATGCCTATAGGCGAACGGAACGTTGCTTCAGGTTCAATGTCTCGCAGTGCCTATAACAATACATAGGGTGCATGTATAATGACAGACTTGATGAATGCTGAATTCATAACAAACATATCCATCTGCCTGACAAGTTTTTCCCCCTGCTTCTCCTTGCCTGGAAGACGAGATGAGGATGGTGAAGAATTGATGCACTACCAATAACTACATGTAATTGAAGAAGGAGAATAATCTCAGGGACAGAAATGTTTCATCTCGCTCTATTTGTCTTCAAAGTATATATTATACGCAGAGGAATGCTCCACTTAAAAAAAGAGTTAATGAGTTCTCATTAATGTAATACTCCTTTGTATTTGATGTCTTTGTGACTAACAGTGTACCTGCACCTTTTCTGCTAAAACTACGTCGTTATCATCATTAATTTTATGCTCTGCATTCAATTTGATTTATTCAAGTCCATTTAAAAAAAGTATGGTACATTGAAAATTTATCCATGTTTGAAGTTGCATTCTTTTCAGTTTGAGCTTTTCACCAAATAGATTATGTTGATTTTTTTTCTTTTCGTTGATTTTTTTCTTTTCATTGAAAAGAATAAGAGGACTCGTACCTTACTCCCATCGAATTGTCCAGACATGCCAGATATCAAACTGAAATTGATGTCACAAGCAGATGCTAGGATAATTGATAGGAACATGCTTCTTGAATTTAATCAAGGATGCCATTTTTTAGGCATTTATCTTGTCTAATTTCAGGCCCTGTCAATTCTCCGTTTCCAACTTTTGAATGATTTCTTTTGTATAGAATGTATGGGGCACCAACAGGTCTGGGACTTGTTTCAAGCTAATTTAGTAAGACCAGCTGGTATCACAGTTTTAATGAGAGTCTATGTCGCTCGATACAAGGAGAAAGTTAGAAAGAAGAATCACAGCATTCGTGATTTGTTTCCTTTTTTTCTGGGAAGCTGCAAAGACAACACTTCACGCGGCTCTTTTCTTCCAGGAGCGGTCATGAACCCCTATGTATCACGCCGACAGCGAACTCATTTATCACTTGTCGCAAAAAATATGGAAAGAAATTCAGAAGGGATCGGGATCCACTGACCTGTCGTGTAGAAAAAACAAGATCCCTTGATTCATAAATATCATCAGGTTTCATATATCGTATCTCGCGGGGAGGAGACAGTGAGAAGATATGTGTAGATATCCATGGCATTCATTTTTATTGTTCATGTTGTATTCCTTCTGTGTCTATGTCTTATTCCTATCATGGATCTGGAAAAATAGATTCATGCTTTGTTCACATCTACCAGTAGCAATATCACTATGAATATGACTGACAAAGAAAGCGGACAAAATATACAGTTCCTCAGGTAGACAAAGGGACATCCCTTCACTGCTATTATGTAAAAATGTGTAGAACAGGTGTCACATGCATATTCACCTTTTTACATAATAGCAGTGAAGGGATGTTCCTTTGTCTACCTGAGGAACTGTATATTTTGTCCGCTTTCTTTGTCTGTCATGTTCATAGTGAATGCATTCAATTTTCTGTAGAGATATCAAGATCACCAACACACATTTGGAAAACGATGCAGTCATGTTTGATAGTTGTGTTCATAGTTGTGTTCATATTCGCTTCATCATTGTACTATTTTGTACTTTTACCAATATTTGTCCTAGTGCTTTTGGAGCTAGGAAGACATTCTACAACTTTATTGAACTAAAAGCCCCACTAGTGATAAATGATGATGTTTTTTTTGTGAATCTAAATCACTCATGAATTTTGCAGAATTTGGATGCTTATTGAAGTTTCTGGGTTTACAGCAGGGACTGATAAGCTGTGCTCACATTGAAGTATACATGTAGTTACACACTTACACATATCTCAACAAGTGAATCTATGCCATGTACATGTAATTGTTTTATGCACTATACAACCATACTACACATACAGTTGTACATGTAGCAATAACCAATTTCTCTTTTGCATTTTGTTTTGTTATTTCCCTTCTCCCTGTCATTCTCTTTATTTCTCTCTCTCTCTCTCTTCTCTCTTTCTCTTTCTCTCTCTTTCTATCTCTCTCTCCTTCCATCCCTCCCTCTCTCTCTTCTTCCATCCCTCCCTCCATCTCTCCCTCCATCCATCCCTCCCTCTCTCTCTTCTTCCATCCCTCCCTCCATCTCTCCCTCCATCCCTCCCTCTCTCTCACTCTTTTTCTATCTGTCCATCTCGTTCTTGAGAAACAGTACTTCACTAGATTTCTTAAAAAAACAACTGAAAACTTACCTGTACAACTCCTCTCAAATTGTTGATAGTCCAAGAGACAGGGCCTTGTATCCTTTGGAAAAGGCACTATATAAATCCAATTCTTAATATGATTATTATTATTATATCTCCTCTTTCATTCTCCTTCTCCAGATCGTATGGATGTTTAGCACCGGAGGAAGATGGGGGTTTGATGCAGTGCAAGGGTCAGCTTAGCAATCACAGAATATCCCGTACAGTCTACTGCTGTAATGATGAGCCTAATTGTAATCTTAAGCTCAACCCTACCCTACCCCCTACTACTACCTCAACAACAACAGGTAAACAGATCAATTCTCAAAAAGTCCTCTTTTTGTCACTCTGATTTGATATTTGAAGGAAAAAAGAGTGCTGTATGTTTTGATAACAACACTTTTTTGTGTGATTGTCTACTGGAAAGTTATATGCTCTGTTTTGCCATCAGTCTTTCGAACTTTTATGGTGTTTTTACAGAGCTAAAGCTTTCACCTCTCCCTTTTATATATATATATATTTTGTTTTGTTTGTAGGAAACTATTCTTTTCATTTCAATTTCTAGGATAATTGAAATGAACATACTTGTAGTACTGGCAAGCCAAAGGTTAACTATTTTCTCACAGATGTACTGTGTAATCCTACCCAGATGTTAATTTCAAACAGCATTGATGATGAATCATTGTTTTATTTTGTGAAAGTTTAGAAAGGTGTACTTCTGATGGAGACACCCCCCTCCCCCTCCTTCTGGTCATCACTTCGCCACATCCCCACAATACCCAATATGTTATGTATGCCTACATGTATGTCACATTGAAGTAATAAACTGATAAACACCTGTTTTGTATTTTTTTAAACAGAACTGCCAGGTGTAGAAGACACCTACAACACGACCGTCCACCAAATAGCTCTTCTCATCTCCGTCACTTTCTGTGCCGCAGCATTCATCATTGCTCTTACATTCTTCTACTTGAGGTTAGTCTTCTTCTCTCATCCACTTCTCTCATCCGCTACTGAGAACCAGAAGGGTATTTAAAGGCTGTCTGTACTACTTATAGCTACTTGCGCCCTCTATATAGCAAACAATGCCTAATCGGTGACCGTTGGTCCCCCATGATCCCCTTTTCTTATGTTAATTGAGAGCTGATTTGATGAGATAACCACCTGTCAGTGACCTTGCAGGGAGGTCCAATCCAGCCTGGATAAACTAGTGTAGAGGGGCTTTAAAGGGAGATGGTAGACAGTTTCCCTATGCAGAAGGTCAAAACTCACTGACACCAGACTTGGTGGAAATACCATTAATGAGTGTTACAAGTCTCACACACAGCAAACCTGAAGTCCCATCAAGAAATACCCCCTCGTCTCTTGGAGAATCTTCGGATGATGCAAATGTCAGATAAGGATTTAACCATATGGGGGACGGGTGAAAATTGCAGAGTGTTACATAAGGCCTGTTGGTCATGAAACTGAATTCTAGTGATTGAAAACACATGTTATTCGGTAAATACCTGAATGATGTTGAATTCCCAAATGAGAGCCCACTGCTATGGGCTTTAACATTATGTTCTTTCGCTGTTCAGACGTGGTTTAGAAATGGATAAAGGAAGAAAGAATTATAAAAGTGGAGTTGAAGTATTGTGATAAATGGATTGTACAGTCAAACCTGCTTTAGTGACCACCTGTCTACAAAGGCCACTATTTGTGTTTCTCTTGGGCAGTCGCTATAGACAGGTTTGACTGTATTTGAATTGTGCGCCCTGCAGAAGGGTGCTACGCAAATACAAAAAGTTTTGATCAAATTTGTAAACTAAAGTTACGATCGTTGAAATACTGCTTATAATATCACTGCTGACACTATCAACAATTTGGACAATGTAGGAATAAAAATTTGTTGCGTAAATGTCATCAAAGAAGAGTCATAGCTTTGGAATGCATTCCCTTTTAAAATGTGCTGTCCATCTGTTGTCTAGGCATCTCAAAAATAGTGCTATTTTAATATTCATTGCGTTGCTTATATGTTATCAAAGGGCAGTGAAACTTTGGAATACTTTCCTCTCATAAAGTACATCCTTTGTCTAGGCATCTTAGCACATCCTGTTCTTCTATTTTAGTAGTTGGAAGCAACTTATTAATACAGATCTTGATCTGAGAAAGGTCACATTAGATCATAACACTAAACAAAGAACCACAAAGTATATTGTATGCCATGCCTCTCTAATCTCCGTATGGCATATTTCTCTCTATTTAGGTATAAGAAGAGAGAGGTGAGAAGACGCTATGACTTTGAGGTAGCGCAGCAAGACGACTCATTCATTGGACCGGGGGAGACCTTATCAGAACTACTCGAGAAGTCCAGCGCATCTGGAAGCGGTTCTGGACTTCCTCTCCTCGTAAGTTCTAATCACTAGATCTAACATCAAAAGGGCAACATCCGACGTGTGTAGACTTGAAGACGCTTCTGAGCAAAATGACCAAACATTCTTGTCTCTCTTTTTGTTCGTTCAGGAATTCATCCGACAAGATTGAATGATGATAACGCTAAGCTTTGTGTGGTCTTTTGCTATTTATATCTAATGGAAAGATAAGGCATGTCGGTTTCGGGTCGCTGAACTTCTTACTCATTTTGTTGCCATATATTTAACTATAAGAATCACCTATCAAAATTGATGTGACCCAATAAATATCAACTGAACCCTCCAAATCTGAGATAGACTGTCCCTTTAAAATTTGCAAGTTACAATGGAAGCTGTTATATTGTGATATTCTAAACAAGAGATTAATTGGAAATAATATCTCTAGTGATATTTGTTTGTCTCGCAATGTATGGTCAACAAGGGATCTAAAAGATCACGACTTTTCGTGCGCCGCTGCAACGCTTTGTCAGGTGATAAAATATATTGTAAGCAAGCGTGCTTTATACTTTACGGGTGGACCGGCGGTCAAATAATTCAATCAATAATCGTACGCCTACAAACAAATATCACTAGCAATATTATTTTTGATACTACATCTGCAATGAGTAATATATTTAGCAAGAAAGTAATCCATGTATTTTTCCCCCGTTTCTCTTGTAGGTCCAACGCACCATTGCCAAGCAAGTTCAGCTGATACGTAAGATTGGGAAAGGGCGCTATGGTGAGGTCTGGAAGGCCAAATGGAGAGGGGAGAATGTCGCCGTCAAAATCTATTTCACTGCTGAAGAGGCCAGCTGGTTTAGGGAAACAGAGATCTATCAAACAGTTCTCATGAGGCATACAAGCATATTAAGTAAGTTATCCCCCTTTATTTCCAAAATTCAAAATTTTCTTGAGGTATATAAATGTAGTAAGTAAGTTACCCCCCCCCCCCCCCCACCCTGCTATTAGAACTAAACAGTAACTGTACAGCTTTTAGGAGCAGCCTAAATATCTTTTGATAGAGTTTGTATAAGGCATTCAAACATACTAAGTAAGTTGCCCCCCTCTTTTTTCAAGCTTCATTTGAAGTTGATGCCAATGTAAAATTTGGAAGGTAGTTATTCAAGATATCATATTTAACCATAACCATAAAAACATACAAACAATAATACAAAATATAGTATGGAATACTGAAACAACCAATTTAATGTCAGTTTTATTTGACAAAACAATGTTCATGTGGCATACAAACTTATTACCGGTAGGTGAAATTACACCCTTCTAGTGTTTGATTTTGTGGGAAATCTATACAAAGCTTGACCTCTATGATCCACCATTCACACTTTAGAATTAAAGGTAAAGACCAGTTATGGTCATGCGATTGCATTGTGAAAGAAACGTTGTGGAATCGATCAGAAAAGGTTGATCATCTAGCATCTAGCATCTAGCATCTGCAAGGTTCTGGAATCATCAAAATGATAAGAAATTTGGCCCATTCTTCGTAAAGTTACAAGCACTATACACAGAAAGATGTATATGGGACTACCCTATATCTCTCACAGACCATGAGAGAAATAAATTTACCAAATATATGAATTAGTAGGCGGTTTCCAGGCAAATTTTTTATCATCATGTATTAGTCAAAACATATTCTTTCACATGATTGGTAATGAGAGCTTCCATTTCATTTTTTGAAATTGGGGCGTTTCCAATACTGGTCTTTACCTTTAAGAGTGAGCCATAAGAATGTCCCTGCTGGTCACTTTCTTAGTCTCAACACATAGCAATGTTTCCATGTACTTATCTTTAAAACCTCACCATGAAAGATATAGCTTTCATTAAATACATTCCCACCGAGAGTAGTCTTATTTGTTTGTGTGAGTAGGTTCATAGGCTATTAACCTGGCACTTGCAAAGCTGATATCATTTTCACTCATAGATACTGGTACTATCATCTTAAAATGATTAAAGGAAACCTCGCTCCAAAGAATATGTGCTGGTATGCTGAAAACTGAGATGTATTTCTCCGCTTTGATGTACAATATTCCTCACGGAAGTGTACAAGAGACATTATACAAATGAAGATATTCTTGGCGTGATGTAATGCCTTTTAGCATAACAGGGGCCCAGCTATTTTCTTGATAATGTATTGTACCAGGCAAACTTATACATTAATTTATGCACCAAGTTTTAGTTGAAAAGAATTTAATTCAATAATTATTCTTGCTTTATATCTCTCTCTCACATACTTAGTGAGGAATCTTGTACAGTGATGGACAAGAATATGATATATCTCTCAGAATAAGTTAAAATTCTTTTTTGGGTGAGGTTTCCTTTAAAGGGATCCGGTTCTGGAACAAAATTCTGAAAGAAAATCCTGGACTTAGCTCATGTTCAATGATAATTTTAAACCTTTAGGTCAGTCAGGAATCCCGTGACTTTTACAAGCCGATCGCCTGTCTGATTATCAAGATATTTATGATTGGAATTGTAATGAAAAAAAAACTGTTTGCCAAACGGTTTTCATAACACAACAGTCTATTGGGGAAAACGAGTATGGTATAACCGGTCAATCAAAAAAATTTACTTTTATGAGGCACTTCTGTGCATCTCGGATTTAACATTGTTAAACGATGCCTTTAATATTTTATTATTGATTATTATTTATTTGATGTTACCTGTACCCGGGAGAGGGAAAGCAAACCTAATCACTGTAACCTTGGAGTGTCTCCTCCCTAACTTACAGTGCCTTGTATCCTTCAGAAAAGGCACTACCGTATTTGCCGGTGTAAAGGCCGCAGTATTTTTGGAAGAGAAAATATCAAAAAGTCGGGTGCGGCCTTTACGGCGAAAGAGTGAGAAAAAAAAAATCAAGTCAAAACCAGCCTGAATTTGGACATATGGGACTAGGAACACTAAAATAACTATACCACTATGGTACAGGACATTTCAACACATCTTACCGACAATTTTATCTTGCATTGTTGACATGAATACGAAAATAAATTGCTAAACCAACATTTTACGATAGATCTTGATCTAAGTTCGTGCTAATGCATTGCAAAAGTCCAATTATTATTACCAATATCATTGTTGTTGTTTTTGCTGTTAATTGATATTTTGATTATTTGTTGCCCCCAGGTTTTATTGCAGCAGACATACGAGGCAGCGGGGCCTACACCCAGCTCTTCCTGATCACAGAGTACCATGAATGGGGCTCCCTCTATGACTTCCTCAACGTGAACATCCTTGATTCACAGAGCATGCTTCGTCTGGCGTACTCTGCGGCCAACGGACTGGCTCATCTCCACACAGAGATCTGCGGCATGCAGGGCAAGCCTGCCATCGCTCATAGGGACGTCAAGTCCTCTAACATCATGGTGAGGAAGAATGGAACGTGTATGATTGCTGACATGTCACTAGCTGCCCGCTTCCTCAGGTAAGTGTGATGAGATTGTGTGATGAGGTTGTGAAAAGCACATTAGTCCTTGGGGACTTACATTAGGCCTAAAAAAAAATGAGGTTGTATTGCCCTTTGCGACCAACCCCAAATCTTAACATCTATGGTCGGCTTTTAAAGCTTTCAGAACTGAGAAAAAGCAGCCCAACGAGGGAGTAAAAACGATTGAACGGCCCATGTTTTGGCACCTAAAGGGCAATACAACATCTTTTTTTTTTATAGGCCTTATGTGGGTATTTCATCAAATATTGTGATATCTTGAATAAAGCTCTTGGGGAGGGTAGTATAAACGAACAAAAATTGTAAACATCAGATTTTAAAATCTTGAACCGATCTGTATTCATCATCTTTCTTACCTTTTAAATCAGGTCTATCTCAACAATTGAATGACCTGTAATCATACATGTAGGTAATCAAATAATTGTATGTCTTATGTCTTGTTATTATTATGTATTGGGTTTCACCTGTTCATGGGAGGCAAAAAGAAAACTGAATCACTGTAACCCTTGATCGGGTCTCTCCTCCCCGGTATAACTGGTTGGTGTTCTGCAGGTAGACCATTACACCAGGGTCCCCCTACTCTTATACGAATAGTGCAGTGGGTTCTTAACATGCATCTATAGGTGCTGTCTCTCCTCTACACATGGCCTCCATTTTATAATGAGCAGTATTATGTATTTTCAGATAAGAATGTTGATGAGTCTTTTGAAATGTAAGTACATAATATACATGTGTACAAACTTCAATTTACAACTGACATCCAGTTTAAATTTAAAATATAACATTCTAAATATCTTATTGTTTCTATTAAACAGTGAGGGTAACGAGATAGACCTAGGCCAGAACACGAGGCTAGGAACCACTCGGTACCTACCTCCAGAGGTGTTGGACAATGTGTTGATGAGTAACACATTTGATGCCTTCAAGATGGCGGATATGTATTCCTTCGGCATGGTGCTGTGGGAGATTGCTAGGAGATGTGTCACAAGAGGTATGCTATCAAAGGTTTATTGTCGTTTGGTCTACAACCAGTTCATCTACTACCCAATTGGTCTATTCCCATATAGTCTACCCCAGCCTTCTACTTTCCGCACGGTCCAATAATAATTTTGTCTACTTATCATTTGGTCTAATGAACATTTAGGCTAAGTAGTTTGGTCTAATTTCCTTTTGATGCAATTTCAATAAGTCTACTTCCCATTTGGTCTACTGCTCATTTAGTCTACTGGTCCTTTACTAAGTATTGTTATTTTTGATCAAATGATTATTAGACTTAGGGCATCAGACAAACTGTGAATTACACCTTGACATCTGAACAGAGCAAGTCAAGATCAAGTCAAGGTCATATGAAGTGTGGCAAAACATGAAATTCTGTTAAAGGGATCCGGTAACTTTGTCTCAGATTTTGAAACAAAATCCTGGATTTAGCTCATGCTGCAATGATAATTATAAACCTTTACTCCAGTCAGGAACCCCATGACCTTTACAAGCCGATCGCCTGTCTGATTTTCAAGATATTTATGATTGGAAATTGAAACCAAGTTTTGCGTTTTCATAACACTACGGTCTATTGGGGAAAATGGGTATGGTAAAACCGGTCACTCGAATTTTTAAAATACTTTTTTGAGGCACTTCTTGATCGTTTTGGAGCGCGATTTATTTTAGGGCTTCAATATTACACCGTATCACAAGCATCGATAACACGTATGGCCGTGCATCTACGATGCCTTTAAAAGATAAACGCTTTTTTATGGTGACTTGTTGCTACTTTGCTAAATTTCATATTCCTCCATCTCTCCATCTTGCAGGAATCGTTGAGGAATGTCAGCTGCCGTTCTATGATGCTGTTCCTATGGATCCCAGCATAGAGGATATGAGGAGAGTGGTGGTGATAGAGAGGAGGAGACCAGACATACCAAATAGATGGAGTGGAGATGATGTAAGTTGGTCTATTTCATCAGTATGTACTGTGGTTGGGGAGGAGAGGGGGAGTGACACAGGGCGTGGTACTGGTAGGGGAGGGGATGGAGGGGAGGAGAGAGTGGTGGTGATAGAGAGGAGGAGACCTGACATACCAAATAGATGGAGTGGAGATGATGTAAGTTGTTCTATTTCATCAGTATGGACTGTGGTTGGGGAGGGGAGGAGAGAGTGACACTGGGAGTGGTACTGGTACTGGTAGGGGAGGGGATGGAGGGGAGGAGAGAGTGGTGGTGATAAAGAGGAGGAGACCAGACATACCAAATAGATGGAGTGCAGATGATGTAAGTTGTTCTGTTTCATCAGTATGTACTGTGGTTGGGGAGGGGAGGAGAGAGTGACACTGGGAGTGGTACTGGTAGTGGTAGGGGAGGGGAGGGGATGGAGGGGAGGGGATGGAGGGGAGGAGAGAGTGGTAGTGATAGAGAGGAGGAGACCCGACATACCAAATAGATGGAGTGGAGATGATATAAGTTATCTTCACTTCTTCACCAGTTTGTACTGTGATGATGGTGATGGTGGTGGTGATGATGGTAGGAGAGCGGATATGAGAGGGGGGAGCAGGTGAGAGTGGTGGTGATGGAGAGGAGGAGACCAAATCGATGGAGTGGAGATGATGCGAGTTGTTCTCTTATCTACTCCATTGGTTTGTATTGTGATTGGAGGGGGGGGGGGAGGAGGGATGAAGGAAGTAGAGAGTGTCAGTGCTAGTGTTAGAGAAGAGAGGAGACATAGTATATAGATCAAGTGGGGGGATGATGTCATTATTAGCATTAGCTTGAAATGTAGTCTTGGTGGTGATGAGAGAGGTAGGGCAGAGAGGGAGGGGAAGAGGTAAGGGAAGTTAAAACAGTAGTGGTTAAGAAATACCAAATAGATATTGTTGAGAAGAAGTATAACCTGGCCTTCTATGTTTGTTCAAATTATTTTAGGGGTGTAGTCATCCTTTCCCCTGAAAATTGTTGGTTGACCTTCAAATCGTGTCTGATTTAAGCTTAATGCAACTTTCTTCTCTTTTTCTCCGGCAGATTCTACGAACCATCTCCAAAGTGATGTCAGAATGCTGGAACCAGAACCCGGCCGCCAGAGTCACCTCCCTCCGAGTGAAGAAGACGCTGGGAAAACTACAAGAAAATGAATTTAAAGTTTAGAGCTAGATAGACGCAAGCCCTTGAAGGATTGCATAGACTTGCACAGACTATTTTGCAACAGGGATCACATAGGTTTCTACAGAGCGTGAATGTGAACTTTGGATTGTAGCAGTTGTAGGTTATGGCAAACTGAGAGTTCAAAGGATGTCAATTTGCATATGGTGTGAAGCACAGCAATGGAGCCAGCAAGGTCTTGAAGCAGAGTAGTGAGAAAGATGGAAAGCTTTGTGCAAATCTTATCAGATGAAGCAGAGAGTGGTCAACAGACTCAAGCAGGTTTTTAACTGTTGTCCAAAACAATTAGAGGTGTTGACACGACTGTGTGAAAAGTATGTCAAAATGGTAACACAAACCAAAGCCACTACACCAGTAGGATTGCTAATGGCAGTCCAAGACAGAGATTAGCTGAAGCACTGGCATTTACAGAACAAGGACACATACACAGAGCTGAGCCAAGATTTGTGGTTCCTGATGTATCGTCACACATGTCTAATTTCTCACGGTTCATCGACTGTGGTCAAATGCACCTAGAAGTGACGAGAAATACCTATTTAATTTTTCTTCGGATTGATATTTACCAAATGAACTAAACAAACCAAATCATCGCAGATTATGCAGTACTCTTGTACTTCTTTAAATGCTCAAATCTTAAAAGTACTTGCACCAGGGAATGTTGTTGTGGTCATTGATGAATTATTGTGTACTTTCACAGCTATAGCTAAGTAGGTGGTCTTGTATGTAAGATAGGTAAACATTGAATGCAGCACACATTGAAATCACTTATATGACATCCAAGCTAGCCCCTTCTGAGCTTTCAGAATTGCAAACAATTATGGAAATGAGCCTGTAATGGTCAAATTAGGGGTCTTAAATCTTTGTTTTAATTGTCGAATCAGGCTGAGACATCTTCTTTGGAAACAAACCTTGACAAAGTACATGAATGTATCTTGCTTTTACTTTTGGGTTAGACAAATAGTCATATTTTAATCCGAACTTACAGCAGAATGCTAACTTCTTTTTTTTTGGGGGGGGGGGGGGAGGGGGGATTCACTGCCCGTGGCTCAGAAGGTGTTGGTATACTAAAAAATAAAAAAAATTGGCAGACATCTTGGATTATACGTAGTCGTTTTACTATTTTGGATGTGGGTTGTTGAACTTGGGGGGGGGGGGGTTCGCTGGTTCACTGGTTTATGCTGTGAAAGAACACAATTTTGTAAGCATCATTAGCGACTATTTATTCTTATCAGTACTCTATACTACTGTATCTTATATGGGTGCAGGTCAGCAGTAACATAGTTTGGAATTACAGAATATACAAGAACAAGTTTCTAGGGTATTAAATATACCTGCAGGTGAATTACAGCTTTGTCGTGTTTACTTTCTGGCTAATTATCCGGGAGTGAAATATCCCATTACAAACATGATTGAACAAATCTCTGAACATTTTCAGGTCTTGATTTCTCAATTTTTGCATGTTTTGAAGAATTTATGTTTCTTGTCAGATTAATCAACTTATTCTTGATAAAAGCATACATGAATGCACTGAGTGATCAATATCATGAGCAAATTCACAATCGTACAAAACACGACTGATTCTTGAAATTTCAAACAATGTTGCTACCTACCTACCTGTTGAAAGCATGGCATTTGTCATTTGGAAGTGTAACCATTGCATGCTCAAAGCATACAATTAGGGCTGGGCTCTAGCCGATATATGAACAATCTTGATGAGAAGTAAGACCGTGCTAAGTGAATGAAAGTGTGAGGAAGAATTAGAAAACTAGATGAGTTCATTGTTAACGAGGTTATAGTTATGGCTTCTAATTAGGTACTAATGAAACCAAAAACTGTAGAGTAAATTTTAAGTACTTAAACTCACTATTATATTACTGTTCTTTAATCAAGAATAGTTTAACAGCTAACAATTAGGAAAGTCATAAAACTTATTTGAATGATTTGATATAAAAAGTGCCAATTTTTTATTACGTGTATAAAAATATCTATATATATGAGCTGCATGTACATATATATTGTAACTAAAAATGTACAGCATGTAGGATCACACAACTCTCTGAAACCCCGACCTCTGTATGTTCCCAGTTGTAGACCTTTATGTAGACACAGCTTTAGTCTTTTACCTCAATTCTCGTTTTACACCCAACTCTTAACTTAAAAACTTAGTAAAACATATATATGTTGTCTAATTTATATATAGATTTTGAACGATTGACTTGTTTTTATTTTCCCCTACTTGAAAGCACTGCCTTTATGAGAAAAAAAGAGAGAAATAACCTTTTCTTGTCGTCATAGAAACAGAACACTTTGATAAAGAATTTAGCCGTGAACTCTAACTTTTGGTTAGGGTGGGGGGTGGGGGGGGGGGGGGCTTTACGCAGGTACTATATTTTAAAATATATATGCTAAAACAATAGTTTATTGGGATATTTCTGAAAAACTAGATAATCAAATCAAAACAATCATGTTGTGATTGTCATAGCAGTAGCCTTAATTTGTTTGGAAAATTCTGTTACAAATTCAAATGAAACGATTTATTTCTCATGAAAGGAGATGAAAATTTAGAAAAAAAGTAACACAAAAAGAAATTGCATATTTAGGGAGACTTCAAGTCATAAAAGAGATATAAATGCATCGTTTTACATTTCATACATTAAATTCCCATAATGTTTGATAGTTTTGTAATGTGAAACAGTAATTATAGAAAACTCTCATAAACAGTCTACACTTCACATGGTGATATCTAATAAGAACAAACATGTGTTGTCCAAGGTTGAAATTCAAGATTTCAATCTTGTACTGGTAGATTTTGTACTGTTACAATTGAAAGGCTGCACCACTCAAAGCCTGACTTCATGTACTCAATTATTCTGTATTTGTTCGCATCCAGTATTTATACATTAATTGTGTGAAAAATACATTTTGTATTACAATGAAACAATTGCCAAATTAACTAGTAATTAAGATTAAAAGATAAATGATATGTACAAGTTTGATGAAGAAAAAGATTATTAAAAAAATACAAAGAGTTATGATGATGCATTGTACAGTTTTTACTACAGATTTCTAATGTGTGTTAGAGTTTATGCTGTATGATTGGAAGTCTAATTTGGGGTTTATTTAAAACTTGTACAGAACTGGAATACTTACTTATCAGAGCACTCTCTCTCTCTCTCTGTCTCTCTTATTTTCCGGTGTATTGTTAGAAGAAGTTTTAGTTGATAGTACTATATGTCTGTAGATAACTATTGTATATGTGATGTACATTCAATCTTACTTGACTGGCGTAATGTAGATATATTCAGACTTCAGATGGACACGTAGTAATCAATTAGGGAGAGGATAAAGCAGTATTTTATATGAAAATTATACCCTGTAATTGTATTTGGGTCGCGTTCTTCATAGGGGATCAGGTGGACTCGATCCAAGCGTGTTTTAGATTTGAACTCACGGTTATCTTGAAAGAGGAATGACGACATTGATGTTCTGTCAGATCTCCTCTCGCAAGAGATAATGTGGTCCAAATCTTGTTGGATAAAGAAGACCTTTGATCGTAAAACACAACCTGGAATATGTTGGTCATTTTTCAGGTCCCCTTTTATTATATATTTGATTTCATCTTCAATGTAAACTCCTTAACTTATCTAAATTGTGTGTATCATAGATAAACCATAGCTACCTACTCAGTTCAATCACTAACATATTATGTAGATTCTCTCATAAAATATTATTACAATGGATCATTCAATTACGGTACTGGAATGATGGGAAGCTGATCATGTTCAGTTAATTTCTATGTCATTATGATGAAGAGTTGATTTTGTTTTTAAGAATGTATTTTGAGGTTGTTTTGTGTTTTTTTAATTTTTTTTAAAAAGAATTCCCCTATCAAAAAGTTGACTATAGCAATGTAGAAATCACCAAATTTGACTAATATTTGATGTGATTCTGCGCAAATTACTAAAAATGGTTCAGGAATAGGTATTAAAAAGGTCGCTTTTGTCACCTTTTCTGTATTATGCACGTGGGATACGTACTGCCTCTTGATGTGGAAAAATGAACAGATTTTTGTTGTCATGTACTTAACTAGAATATCCTCATGATTTGTATACATGTATAAAGCCCACCGCACAATATACAATCTTCCTACAGTCCAATTTGTTTAAAAGAAATGGCAATAGGTATAGAATTCTAAACAAACGATCTTGGTTCTGAATAATGAAAAGAATGCAAACAACAGGAATTTTAGTGCATTTACGCTTTCTACTCAGATAAGAGCCGAATCGGTTGCAAATTGTAGACAATCCGACGTCACCACGATTCTGAGCTGATTTTGGCTATTTGATGGCTACTCCTCTTTCAAGAAAGCTTGAAATCAATTTAAATCTTGATTTAAATAATCATATGCCTGTTCAAATCATTGATCATTAAGAATTTAGAAATTTGAATGTTCATATCAAATGCTATCGTGAATTATTTGAATATCGAACAGCAGGAGGATTGTATAGTGTACGATGGGCTTAAGTAATATATTTAGGATGTTTCTTTTCTGTACAAAGAAATCTTTGATGATATTTATATTTTCTCTACTTATCATTATCACTTATTTCTCAATATGAGATAAGATTATGGTTGTATATTACTTTCGTTGTAAATATGTATGTATTATGATTATACTTCAGTATATAAAACAGCAGGCCTCAAGCCAGTATCAATATCATTTGATTAATCACATTATAGTTTCATTAAATTATATTATTTTACTCTCTACTTGTATTTTACCTCTTCTCTGAGGAGAAAGAAAGAACGTTTACATTCAACTTAATTAAGACTCCCTTTTTAATTTCAATTTATTATGAAATGATCCATTATTTTCAAGCATTTTAAAAAAGATTGCAGAAGACTCACATGTCTATTATTCTTTAGTGCCCCATTTCTTGTAAATTGATAATTTGACAATATCAATAAAAACTTCAATGTTATCAGCACCAAAGAAATTATTTGATGTTCAAGAACACTTTATAAACTCACTCATGGTGAACCCCAAACATGACTGTTTTAATTGTCCTTGGTTTTTGTTAGAAAATTTCAGCTAGCATATCAACCTTTGAAGTGCTATTATAAGTACTATATGCTCTTCATATGAATTGTAATTGTTATCTATTTAATTTTGTTGGTTTTGTGTTTTTTCTTTTCCTCTCTTGGTTTTAAGTGGCTTCCAGAGTCGTTAACAATTTGCTGCTAACTTGTGATATGAATGTACATATTCTGTTCAGTTTTCTACTCCCCACATGGAGAAACATTTTATGTCCTGTTTCTTATTTACTGTTGTCTCCTATATTGCAAGAAGTACTCTAAGCCCTAGATATATTGAAGTTGATGTAATCTAGCTTAACTCCTGGTAGTTCTCAAACTTGATTTTGAACTTTATTTTCCTCACTCAAGGGAGCAGCATGTAATGGCATCATTGAACCTGCACCTGCTTGGTTCTGCCAAATTGTCAATCTAATACCGAACTACATTCATTTCATTTGCACTTCAATTCTCATTGATATAATGTGCTACCACATTGTTCCATATATTTATGTCTATTAGAGTTGATTTGAAGTTTTCTTTTTTTTTAAAGTTCTCCTGTAATAGAATCAAAAGATTTAGTTTGCTTCACTGTTATGTTACCACTGCCCAATCTTCTTAAAAATGATATCGCACATTTACCTCACATACCTTAAAAATCCTGTGTATAAGACGCACCCCTAAGTTACATGCACTCACTGACCAGGGGCCTGTCTCACTTTTAAAAAGAGTTGCAATTAATCTGAATCAAATCATATGCCCTTTAATCGGTGGATTGTGCATCGATTTGCGATCAAAGTAATAATGTTTGATTTGAATCAATTGCAATTCTGTATGAGACAGGGCCCAGATGACATATCCATACACAGAAATAGTTCTAAACTTTCACAATTTATTAGAACAATAGGGCTAACAAAAGTTATTATGGTAATGTATTTAATACAGGTGAAGTTGCGAGTGAATTAAGGCTTGTTCAGACATGACCTGGCAAAACTGTGGCTGTTTTTTTAAAAACGATGATGTTAAAGATAAACTTGAGTACTGGTAATGCGATTGCATTGTGAAAGAAAAGGTGTGGAATGGATCAGAAAAGTTGATCATATAGCATGTAAGTAATAGTATGTAATGCAAGGTTCTAGAGTCATCAAAATCATCATAAATTTGGCAGAGTCTTGGTAAAGTAACAATCACTTACACAGATAGATGTATATGGGACAACACACATAGTGTCGGGGCTAGTACTACCCTGATTTCCTTATCTTTCTATGCTCATTACTCAGCCAGTATACATTTTCTTCCAAAATTGTTTGGCACATGACATTTATTTGTAATCTAGAACATTCAGTGTAAGTTTCGTTAGATTCTGTAAGAATTCATTTTTTTTTTTTTTTACCAGAACTCAAGTTTATCTTTAATAGTAAAGTGTAATATGCTTCACGTGTGGGTATGTTATAGCACAGAGCTTGGTGAATATGTGCAAAGTCTTTGTCGCATTCAGTTACTATTCATGAACAAGTTGAAAAAACCTGCGGCAGCTGTCTTGCGATGGTTTACTGGGCCGCATCTTAACAAGTCTTCATGGTTTCTTTAGATAGAATTATGACCATGTGCAGACAAAATATAAGCAAAGCTGTACCTCACTTAAATCTGCTGCTTATTTCTGCCATTTTACGTGTTATGTTGAGCAAATATAAGCCACTTGAACTAATGGAAAAGTACTTTGTAAATTTAGGATGAAGTTCGTTGTACTTTTTTGTAATTTCCATGCATATTGTATTCACTTAGACGTAAGATGTCCACTACATTTTTTTTGATAATGGAAATGGAATTTTTGATATTATAGTCGCCATCAGATCACCTCTAATCTATTTTCATCCAGATTCAAAAAATGATTAATCCCAACTCAATGAAAATAATACACAATAAACATATTTCTTTATCAGCTTGGTTTTACAACACATGCTTTTGTGCCAGTTGCTACATGACCGAGTACCTATACACTAATTGCATTTTGGAACTTCAGCCTTTCACAAAATACTATACATAAACCTAAAGCAAACCCATAACCCAATCACAACCCTAACCCTATATCTCTTAAGACATAAACTCCAAAAGAGTCATCGCCATGGTAATTGCTAGAGCACTGCCTTACTTATTCACTTCAGGTCCAGTTATCTGATGGCAACTATTTTCAATCAGAATACATTCTCTTGAAGAGAAAAAGTCAGATAGTTAATCACTTATGGGAAGAATAACCTGTACAATTTTTGCTCGACCTCTTCATAAAACACAATGAAATGTTTTTATTAGCTCAGAATATCTCTCTCTTTTCGTTTTGAGAGGGTGAGAAAAAAATGTAGGGTATGTAGAGACTTGACAACCTGTACTGAAGAGAACACTATGTATATAAGCATTTTTTGTTAGTATAGTGGTATTGTACTGAGCGGAAAGGGGGATTGTGAAAGAGATCTTTGGGTCATTTCTTCTTTTCTTTTTTTAAAATCCCCCAAACAGTTACTACTTTGTTGATAATGACTACATTTTTTCAATAAAATATCTGAAAAAAATATTTTGTCTGTGTTTTGTTTGTATGATTTGTGTCCTCCAGGGTCCTGTCTGATGAGGAGCTGTGATTGAATATGATTGATTACAAGTCCTCCAATCTCATTTCAGGTTTAGTAAAGAGTTGTGCTTGATAGCAAGCAGCAATCAATTTGAATCGATCTGTGTAAGACGAGGCCCATGTCTAGTATTCGACTTAATGCACCATTTAAAAAAAAAAAAAAAAATTGTATTACGAAGTGCACATTTAAAGATGGATTAAGTTAGGTAAAACTGGTAAGCAATCATGACACCATCATCATACCTGCCAACCACCCCGATTTAGGCGGAGTTTCTCCTCATTTTTCATACCAACTCCGAATTCCGAGTGCATGCCTCAAAACTCCGATTTTTTTTAATTTTAATTTTTTTTTTTTTTTTTTTGATAATTTTTTTAAATTAATATTTTGTGTGTGCGTCCGCCATTTTCAATGGCAAAATGTCCATTCTGTCCTGTAAAGTATCCTACAAGCATCTCACATCAGCAATTTGGGGATGTTTATTCATACCTGCGTATATCCCACGTGTATTTATATTACATGTGCAGTTGATACGCCGTGCATAAACACTGTATACATTGGCGTGTTTTCTTCAATGCTTGTGCAATGACTACGATCGTGGAAGCTTGTTATTTACCGGACTTCCTCGGATTTATTTTGGATTACTACTACTATATACCTTTGCAAAATAGGGCTCCTAACTGAGGTGGGTAGTGAAACATGTAGTTTTGTGAGTGTTCACATTTCAAAAATTGTTTATGTGTGGGGCGAAAAGGTTGAAGGAAAAGGCCCATTTGCACCATTAAAATGGAGAGAAAAAAAATAGACCCTAAAGTCCTGTGTACCCCCCCCCCCCCCCCCCCCCCAATCTACGGGCTACTACCCCAATCCTTCGGTGGTTCGCGACCTCGTAGTCCATCCAGAAAAATTTACTCCTAATTTCTCTTGTCTCAGGTTGGCAGGTATGCATCATAATACATGATTTTACAGGGATCAGAGAGAGAGAGAGAGAGAGAGAGAGATAAACGGAAGAGAGAGGAGAGAAAGAAATAGAAAGAGAGAGTCAGACGGATACAGTGGTAAAGAGAGACCGAATTAGAGAAAGAAAGAGAGAGAGAGAGAGAGAGAGAGATTAACTTCACGTAAGACTTGCTTCAAAGAGCAGCGATTGCAAATTTTATTTATTTTGAGAAACTGATTGATCAACACTATACTAGGCCGGGGCTCAATAATTGCCGTGGATAAAAAAAAAAAATATATATATATATATATCCTCCGACCATTTTGAAGTAGCCTCCATTCCCGAGAGAATGGAAGAAGTTCAAGACTTCCAATACCATTTCATTTTAAAGCCCAACTGCACTACTTAAAGCTATACTTGCGCCCTCTACTGCTCTACATAGCAAACAATGCCTAATCGGTGCCTGTTGGTCCCCCATGATCCCCTTTTTCTTATGTTAATTGAGAGCTGATTTGATGAGATAACCACCTGTCAGTGACCTTACAGGGAGGTCTAATTCCCCTTGGCCAAGCTAGTACAGACGGGATTTAAAACTCTAAAATGTGAATGATTCATTGGTCATCCCAGTGATAGAGATAATGAAGTACAGAGGCTTGACCATGATTGTGAACGACATGGACAAGTCTACTTGGTATTTCATCTCTCAAAGAATTTTTCTATCTTTCAAGCAACAGATCTTTCCCGACAAACCTACGGCAGCTAGAGCTTGCAGGGGCTGATCTAGCTTTTTGCCAAGGGGGTGGTTTGACCCAGTGGCGGATCCAGGATTTTCCAAAAATCGCGCCGTTATACTGTTTTACTTTTTTTTTCTTCTTCTCCCCCTTTTTTTTCTTCACTTGGTCGCCCAAGGGGGGGGGGGGGTAAACCGCCACCCCCCCCCCTAGATCCGCCCCTGGCTACTCTGATTCATGCAGACACTGGAAGAAGGCTGGTTGAACTCGACTCGTTGATAGTCCTGCGAGGAGAACCGCTGAGGGAATTTAGTTCTAGCTGTCGACATCGTAGAGCATTTTATTGAAAAGTTGAAATACTTCAACTTCCTGAACATTCCTGGTAGGTTAAAAAAAAAAAGGTCCCCAGAGGGTAACTCCTCCCCCCCCCCCCACCCCCTATCTCCGGTGTGAAAGTCAATGGCGGGCCGGACTTTGTCGCGCGAAAAAGTACCCCTTTACCGGAGATTTTGGGAACACGCATATGGAGGGGGGGGGGGGAGGCAACTTCCGTGTTTGGTATACAAGTCGACAACGAGAAGCTGTCAAACATGGGTGATGTCCAGGGGGGGGGGGGTGGAGTAAAACCGCTTGTGATGAAAAAATAATGCACAATCTGGTTGACAAGCAGAAGAAGGATATAGAAGCTAGTCGTTTGGGGTTGAATTTGAGCTAACAAAAAGGTAAATGGGACTAAAGCAATCTGTAGAGAGAAAACAAAATCACAAGCATGACAAGAGCCTTTCGTGAAAGCCGGTGAAAAAGTGGTTTCTTACCACTAACCCAGTAAAAAAAAAAAAAAACTCCTTCTCTCAAGTTAAACAGTCAGTACATGTTTCAAGGTACCATTCAAAAGGGTAGAAATGAATAGACCATGCAGTCATAAACTTTGAAAGTTAAAATATAGCAGGGAAATCAGAGAGGTAAACATAATAGCGCAACCGCTTCAAATTCAAATGGAAATATAAATATTTTCAGTAATGGTTGTTCCTTGTAATAGTCCGGCAGCCAAATCCAGATTATTGGCCTAACCTTGTTTTAGGGTCTATAGTTTTTTTTTCAATGGATTTTGATTGCCTAGACCTTCTATTTCAAGAATCCGATTGCTGACACTCTGTCAGCCTTGAGCAATTTAAGATATATGACGTCATACAAAATGGCCGCCAAAGTACATGGTTTTCCTTTAAAAATATATAATAAGGATTTTTTTCTACAATTTTTGGCAGCCAAATGTCTGTATCTCTCTAAAACCATCAATAAAAAAATGTTTCGTGATGTTGCATGGCCATAGATGACCTGCTTATTTGCATATTTTGAAATAGCGCCCTCTATAAACATATTAATTTGAATAAAATATGTGTGCCAGCCAAATGCCAATTTCTTAAATCTATGTCACGTTGAAATCATATTGAATGCTTTTTTGGGGCAACAATTGCAGTTGTGCTGCAATAATCTTTCATCGTGTTTGGTACACATTTAGATAGGGTAGGTATGGGGAATGGAAGACCCTTAAGCACATTTGCATAATTTACATAAACATGAACAATGTTACACATACAGATATTTTTGTATTCTCTTCAGTATTTTTTCTCTTTATTTGGTAACGAAATTGTGGTCATGATGTAACTGATTAATAAGATAACAATGATTAATGACGTCATCACCAAAGGTCTCTCATTACCTACATGTGTAGGTAATAAGGGACAGTTACAAATCAAGACATTTTAAATACAATTTGAATGAAAATGGGATTGTTATAGTTAGTTCAAACACTTTTTGAATGATATACATGCAGCCAATGAATTTACTGTAATTTTGAAACGACTTTAAAACAATGTGGCCCAAAATATTTCTGTAGTTTTTTTGTTTACAGTAATAAAGGTGCTCTCAATTATGTTAAAATACTTTCAGAATAATGTTCTGGCAATATGACTTTTACATTGCTCAAACTCACAGCATAGAAACAACTTCTTAAAATTAAATGCATTCAAATTAGAATGGCGACACGTACAACCAAATATGTTTCATGATAGTGCCTTTCAACATGAAATTGACAACTGGGAAGAAGTAGGCCCCCATCTTGGACCTGGTGTCCCCCATTACCTACACACATTTCTGATCAGACACCATTCATAATGTGAATTGGAACACCCATTCACAACACACAATGGCCATAAGCTTTCTGTGATGGTTGGCACATTTCATAAACTTCCTTTTAAAACTAATTTTTAAGAGCCACCCCTAAATATCTGCATACACCACAACATTCAGTGAAAATTGTGTTTTTACATCAGAGCAAAATTTACGATCAAAATTGCTTATCTTGGTCAATTTTGCCAATTTTCTCGGAGAGAGAACGCATTGTAGTCTTCGAAATGAATTGGATATATGCAGTAGTGTTGTTGAAGGCCACATGTCGCTATATCAATATTGGAGCCAACACGGACAGACAGTGATGCGTTCAAGCTTGGTGGTCTCCAATTCCCTACACCTACCCTACATATGTCAAGAAAAAAATGGATATGAAAGAATTCATTTTTCATCAAATCGGTGAGAAGTGGTTTTACGGCACACATTGTTATTCAATTGATTTAGACCAGCATTGCTCCAACGTCAGTGAATGTGGATAAAGCAGTTGACATCTATACTAGACAGATGCATGATTTTCAAAAGAAATTACCTGGTGGATTCTATGACACAATTTCCAAGAAAGTTCAAACCATGGCAGCCATGAAGAAGTCAATGTTGGGGTACGAAAGTCTATGAAAAGTTGATCTACTCCAGAGTAATAGGACTGCAGACAAGTTCAAGAGAGGTCAATGTCAAGGACATTTTGTCATAAGAGCTTTCACCATTCCCAATAGCACTCTTTGATGATTCTGGAAACGAGCACTCCCATGTCAAAGGCGGACTTATAGAATTTGACAAAAGTTGAGATGTCAGCCAGGCATGAGACACTGGAACAACCTTGTACAGTCATTGTTAGTTGTGCTCTGCTGCGGATGAAAATCTGATGATGTTTGCTTGGTGTTTGACAGATCCGAGAGTATCTAGAGGTCATAACGGGTCGCGAGTCTTCCAACTGAGTCCTGCGTCACTGCTGCCCTCCAAGAAACTATCTCTTACTGTTCGTCGTCGTCGTCATATAGATCATGGCTCACCCTTGTGACCCGTTTGATGAGACTTTTTGATTGGCATCTGTCTCCTGCAATCCGGTAGAGTGTCTTTAGTATTTAGAGGGTGGCTAGTGATTTCCCTAAGGTCGTCAGTCCATCTGAGCTTGAGTCTTCCTTTGTAACGTGTTCCTTCAAAGGTACCTTGAATGATAATTTGTCAAGGTTGTCTCCTGATCTTCTGCTAACGTGACCAAACTATTGTAGCTTGTACTTGTCAATCCTGGTAGCAAGTGGCAGTTGATCTCCGATGATGGACATTAATTGTGTCCATTGGTGTTGTAATCTCTTCATGATATCCCAAGTAGCTTCCTCCAACACCACATTTCAAAGGCAGATATTGCCGAGCTTCCACCCTCCTTGACAATCATTGACCCAAGAACATTATATAAACTTGTCCACTTGATCAACTTCTTCTCCATCAACCACAATGCTCTGTTGCATGTAGTTAATTTCCACCAATCATGATCTTGGTCTTTTTCACATTGAAGTAGGGTCCAAATTATTCACTTGCATCCTTCACTCTTTTTTAAGGAGTTCTAGTAGTTCTTCTGAAGTTCTTGTTATAAGTGTTGTCAGTGGCATACTGAGCAAAAACACTTAAAGGGGCAGAAAAACAATCTGCATCACCACCACTCATACATGTTACATGCAGGCCCCGCGGAACTTTTTTAAAAGCGGGGGTTGGGGGGGGGGGGGGTGAAGTATTTACGATCAGGAAGAGAGGAGCGTAAATTGGCGTGGTGTTCAAGGGGCACAGCCCCCGGAAGCTCAAGGGTTTCAGGCATTTATTAACTGTAAGATGAACATATTTTGATACCTCATTTCACCTCAGGTCACTTTCTTTCTTTCTTTCTAGTTCTCTTTAACATACTTTATACAAAAAGTGAGGGGGGCTCGAGTCCCCTGACCCCCGCTGTTCTGCGGAACCTGACATGTAGGCTTTTAAATAAGCATATTATTTGCTTGACTGTGAATTTAGGATTTGTCATTTTCCAACATAGGCTTAACAAATAATAATTTACTAAAAATTGAGAAAAAACCCAGGAAAATTATTTAATTTAGCAACATTTGTAAATCACTGGTATCGAATATATAGAAAAAACAGTTTGAATTTTGTTTGGGGGTTCAACTGTCCCCCCCCCCCCAACCCTTCCCCATCAATACGCCAGAGAGTGTTGTATTGTCGGCGTATCTTAGGTTGGTGATCGTTCGTCCACCAACAGAAACTTGACCATAAAATGCCTTTCTCATGATGAATTCAGCATAGATGTTGACAAGTTATGGTGATAGGATGCAGCCTTGACGGACAACTTGACCAATAGTGAACCTTTCGGTGTAGCCATTCTCTGTTCTTACTGTTGCTTCTTGGTATCGAGCGACTGGATGAGTTGAATTATATGTGCTGGAAAGCCCATCTAGCTCATAATCTTCCATATGCGTTTATGTTGTACGTAGTCAAAAGCTTTGGAATGATCAATAAAGCTAGGGAGAGAGGTTGTTGAAACGTGTCTCTAGTGTTGCTAACTTCACTATCTTTTCATGACAACAAACTACAGTTGATCGACATCATAATTATATGCGCGAGTCTGCAGGATGATTGGGTGCTCAGAAATAGGCAAAAGCACAAGCAGGCCTTTACCGTCAAGATGAGGTTCCTGTTGAAGTGATTCCAGGCAGTGATGTCATGCCAAGGAAAGGTCTGTCCACAACATAGTTATGATGAAGCAGGCAACATCAAAGTGCAGCAAGCGATTTGAATTGATGCTAATGAGAAGATGTATATTAGGGTCCATAAGCTCTTATTTACCAAATACCCCCAAACCTTGCCTCACTACCTCAAACTACTGAAGCGTTTGTAGAAAATGTAAAGAGAGCTCATTTGCAAACATGCGTGTGAAAGCACGCATTACAGTCACGACCTCACTTTGCAGAATTAAGTGTTAAATGACACCCTCTTCCGCATAGAATATTTTAGGGTTCCCAACACTTTAGAGGGCTTTTAAACAAATTTCAAGATTTTAAGCAAACTTATAAACGGATATAGTCCTGTATCGTATTGCTAGTTCGTATTTTTTAGGTTAATTTAAAAGAATCTAGTACCTTAGAATACAACTCTAGTTTCTTAACGCTGTCACTGAAAATGGGCATTTATCACCATATGCCACCTCATATCTATGGGACAGAGAGCATAAAATTCAACCGAGTTTTCTTCGAGTATCAAATTATAAAATAAAATAAATGTGCAGCACAATTTTTACTCACTGTATCCAGTGCATCTGACTCATGACATATGATAATCTCATGTTAGACATGTTAGAAATTGGTATTTGGCCATCATTTTGAACTATGCAAGTTAATGTGTCTATAGAGGGCGCCATTCCGAATTATGCAAATTTGCATATTATTTGTGATCATACAGCATCGCAATTTTTATTTAGTGATGATTCTAGAAAAAAAATCAAGATATTTGACTGCCATTTAATGAAGTAAAATGCTGTTAAAACTTTTTATATCATTAATTTTGGTTAAAAAGGGGATTTTGGCGGCCATTTTGTATGACGTCACATATCTCAAATTGCTCAATGCTGACAGAGTGTCAGCAATCGAATTCTTCAAATTGATGGTCTAAGAAACTATAATCCGAAGAAAAAAAAACTATAGACCCTAAAACAAGGTATACCGAGATGGCTGCCGGACTATAAGTGTGTTAGCTTAAAATCAATATCCTCAACATTAAATTGTAAATATACATACTGGAGAATGACGTCACCCAAAGTGATATCAAAGTCTAACATACTCACGTGACTGCAGACTGTGTATAAACAATAATGCATAGAATGTAGACATGATACGGCATGAATGCAATATCATTTTGCGATAGAGGCTTTTAGAAATCGTACATATTAACTTCATGCAGCTCAGCATTAAGGTAGGAATATGCATGGGTTCAGGTTGAAATATTTTCAATTTAACGCGACAATGTTTCTGTTCTGCCGTAAAGAACACGATGACTTCCACCGTATGACTATACAGCTAGGAGTTGAAATCTTGAAACATCATAGAAATTGTGCGTGTATAATGATATATACTTTCTATTGTAACGCCATATTCTGTTAACTTGTTATATAGTGTGTTATGTGTGTTCTGAAAGAAAGATAAATAAAACTTGAACTTGAACTTGAAAGCGCCCTTCGGAAACCAGTGGCGGATCCAGGGGGGGGGGGGGCCGGGGGGCCCGGGGGGCCCGCCCCCCCCCCCCTGGCAAAAAAAAAGAAGGGAAAAAAAGGAAAAGAAAAAGGTGGAAAAAAGGGGAAAAAGTGGAAAGATTTTTTTTATTGTGTGTGTGTGTGTGTGTGTGTGTGTGTTCGCTCAAGAAAGCAACAACCAACAAAATTGTTCCCCCCCCCCTCCTAAGCCACTTAACGAAATATCTGATAATTTTCTAATTTCCGGGGTCCAATTTTTTTATTTTTTTAATCGCTCATCTGACGATGATTAAATGCCTTAAAACCCCTGAGCTTCTGGGGGCTCTGCCCCCTGGATTTCACCTAGGGCCCAAAGTCAGGCACCTGGATGCTCATCTGACGGTAAGTTAATGCCTAAAACCCCTGAGCTCCTGGGGGCTCCGCCCCCTGGACCCCACACCAATTAGTGATCTACCAGTGCCACAAATAAGGTATTGAAATATGCTCATCTGACAGTAATTGCCCAAAACCCCTGAGCTTCCGGGGGCTCCGTCCCCTGGACCCCGCCGAGAAACGTTCAGAGGGGCCTGTAAGAGTGGGGTGATGGGGATTTTTGTTGTTGTCAACCCCCCCCCCCCTCCCCCCCCCCAAAAAAAAAAAAAAAAACGTTTTTTGCCACTGCCGGTTTCACTATTACGTACCAATATTTGGCTCGCATAATTTCAAATTTGCCCCCCCCCCCTTAAGAAATCTTGGATCCGTGCCTGTAGGAAACCTTCATTCCTTATTTTCCTGACTTTCCAAATAAACCTATTGCATTGTTCAAAATGTCTCTTAAAACTGTTTCATGCAGGGTTTCATGCCGTCTCGATTCTTAATTAGTTAAATCGCAGATATTTTAACGAAATGCATGACTGGAGAAGAAAGGAATAGCTAAGGCAGAGCTAAAGATATGAAGAACATCTCGATCGTCATTGATATAGGTTAGATGCCAGATGCCATCTAGAGAGCCAGAGCAAAAGAAAGAGGCATAGGGTTTCGGGGATAAGGCGGCTAATGTTAAAACTTTTCTCTCCCTCTCTCTCTCTCTCTCTTTCATCTGAAACTGTTTAGCTGAGGATCTCGTAGTATATCAACCTCTCAGATGTTAGGATCTACCAATTGCTCACCATGGAATACGGTGTCGTCCTCCCGGTCATTCTCCTGGTCATCTCCTTCGTCGTGACCTTCCTCCTCGCAAAGGCCATCCGCATCATTGTCCTCATCAGTAGATTCCAGGGACCATTAGCATTACCCCTGGTCGGGAACGCCTATGCCTTCAAGAGCGACCAAAGAGGTAATGTGCACCATTTGGGATTATGATGGGTAAACGGTGGTCCTGGTGGTACTGGTGCTGCTTCTGGTAATGGGTGATGATGGTGGTGATGTGGTGTGGTGTGGTGTTGTGTCAGTGTGGTATGGTGTGGTGTGGCGTATAGAGGTGGTGGTGTCGGTGTGATATGGTGGTGGCGATGTTAAGTGGTGATGATGTTGATGTTGATACTGAGGTTGATAATGATGTTGGCGTGATGTGATAGTGGTGATAATGGTGATGATGGTGGTGGCGATAGATGAGGTTAGCTTTTATCCACAGTTCTGTGTATTTCAACATCATTAATTATACCCGCGTGCATATTTTCCACTTCTCTGTAAAATATTCTATTAACCTCTTCATTTCCATTGCTCCTTTTCTCCTTTGACAGAGTTCTTCGTGGATATTCAATCTATTTTTAACGAGTATCGCGCCAAGACAGGCGGGATCATTCGGATGTGGCTCGGTCCAGCTCCAGTGCTCGTTCTTTATGGCGCTAAGTATATGGAGGTAATGATAACGTTTTTGGGGGGCGGGAGGAGGAGGTAGCATGAGGTATATTTATGAAGGCTCTTGGCTCTCATACGACAGGTCCCGGGTTCGATTCTTGTTCGGTGCTAATACATCCTTGAACAATATGCTTTGTCCAACTGTTGTCCCTCTCATATCGATTGAGGTTACTAAATTTTATAACAACTAGTTTTCGTAAAGGCCAATTTGAAGGTCATCCAAGAGAGAGAGAGAGAGAGAGAGAGAGAGGGAGAGGGAGAGAGAGAGAGAGAGAGAGAGAGAGAGAGAGAGAGAGAGAGAGAGAGCGGGGGAGTAGAAATTGATGACAAGGCTCTAACATTCGACTTTGGTGACAAAACCACTTATACTGCATGGAGTGTGACATTTCCTTTCCTCTCTAGTAAAGCCCCTGTGCCTCTCTTTCATTGTAATACATAGATAACACGATCGAGAAGACTTTCAAGAAATCAACTCGAAAGTAAATTCAGCCGGCTAGTATATCAAATCACATTCGAATCGCATAGCTACTATAGTGCGTCAATGTAACGTTTGCACCGTCTACGGATTTGTCGGTTCATGATAATAATAATAATATCGAATATTTAGGAGCGCTAAAAACAATAAGTACCATAGCGCTTACAAAATAATACAAATATATGAAAAGAGGACAACAAATGTACAGTCTCACATAAAGTAGATCACATAGATCACTGGGGAGAAAGGTAAGTTTTGAGGGATCTTTTGAAGGTGGCAAGATTGGTAATTTCCCCTATGGAAAGAGGGATGCTGTCTTTAACGCAGCTACTGCAAAACGTTTTTGTAATATCGATGACGAATTTAAGAAGTGTTGAAATGGGCTACTAAAATTGTCCTACATTTATTTGTTTCTAAAGTCTTGGCGATCGTACGTGTTATATATAAAATCATTATTTCAGTCTCAAAGGCATCGTTTAACAATGTTAAATCTGAGATGCATGGCCCTACGTACGTGTTATAAGTGTCTGTGATATTAATACTGATACCCTAAACAAATATTGCGCTTCAAAATGATCATGAAGTGCCTCAAAAAATAAAAATCTTTGAGTGAACGGTGGTACCATACTCAATTGCCCCACTAGACCGTAGTGTTATAAAAACCGTTAGGAAAACGAAGAATGAAAATTCGATTTCCAATCATAAATATCTTGATAACCAGACAGGCAATGGCTTGTAAAAGTCATAGGATTCCTGACTGACCTATAGGTTTATAATTATGATTGCAGCAAGAGCTAAATCCAGGATTTTGTTTCAGAATCTGAGGCAATGTTACCAAGTCCCTTTCATGTAATCCACTTTCAGGTGATACTAAGCAGCAGCCAGCACGTCCGGAAAGGGTTCCTATATCGTCTCCTGGAACCCTGGCTTGGTCTAGGGTTATTGACTAGGTAAAGGCTTTTTGTTACCTTCAAATTCAAATTGAGCGTTATTTTCGTATTAGAAATTCAGGACCGTAATCTACTATATAGGCAGTTAAACCCGACGTGGTTTTTAAGATCATGTTTAAAGGTATTACAAAGTTTTGGTAAGGGGTCATGAATTTGGATCAAATGAACATATAAGAAGCCTTTGCGGTTTTACAATATTCAATGATCGTTGTCGCGGTTGAAATCGAGTCTAAAGTAAAGAAATTGTAAATAATAAACTCTTTATGTTGTATAGCGCCCTCTCAAGGCTGATATTACTTTTGACCTAAACAAATGTTTCTTGACTACAATTGACCGATTTGCTATTCCCTTTTGGAAATTATATATCAGAACTGCATATTCTAAGATTTTCATGATCGCAGCTACCATGGAGTGGCCTTAGGCGCTATTTGAAATATTTGAAATTTACCAGGAGCACCGGTAAATTTTTGATTATTCAATTTCTCGAAAGCAGAAGTGTTTTAAAGGCTAAATGTTCTATTTCTTATAATACATCCACAAGGGGCATCCAAATATATTAACATTTCAAAGAAATACTATCAATCCATTTTTCAAAATTTCCCGAAACTTTTCATTACCTTTAACAAAAGAAAAGTTAGACTTCGGACTGAAATGAGGGGTCGACGAACATTTCGATTTTATGTAATGATTTAAGCCAAATAATACGAGGCAACACGAATACCAGCTCAGTTGTTTTATATCATGCAGCCAGGAACCCCACACGTGTAGAACTTTTGAGATAAGAACTTGGTATATCAAATATCAATATGATATAATCACATGTATGTATGCGATAAGACAGATACTACTATAAAATACGGGCGAAAATTGAAACGACGAGACGCTTGAGCAAACAAACATAAGAAAATATGAACGTTAGACCTACTCATTTAATTATCGGCTGCAAAGTTAGAAGTTCATGAATAACAGACTGTCAAGTTCACATACAAAAGAAACTGCAAGTCGTCATTGATCATAATGGGAGAACATCTCCAGGAATAACAATAATGTTATCACCCCAAAACAAAATCTCAAGAAAATCTATATTTCTGAATGTGATTTCCTTGCAGTACTGGTCAGAAATGGTTTCATCGACGCAAGATGCTCACTCCGACCTTCCACTTCTCCATCCTTCAATGTTTCATGGATGTTTTCAACGAGCAGAGCACTATCTTGGTCAAGAAACTCGAAAAGTTTGCCGATAAGTCTGAGACTATCAATATCTTTCCTCTCGTCACCAACTGCGTGCTGGATATAATATGCGGTATATAAAAAATGGCGGCTGACCAAGCCGCCCTCCCCAACCCCACATCCAAACACATTTTGCCTACATACATACAAAAATCTATTCGGAAACAGAATACTGCCGATGTGACAGCAAACCGATTTTGAAAGAAATTTAAACATTATTAGACAAGTTACAAAGATATTTATAAAAACAAAAAATATATCAGTGAGGTGTCCATTATTTGTCATTTGGGCGTGGTAGGTGGATGTGTGTGGGGGGGGGGGGGGGGGGGGGGAGGAGGGGGTAGTACTGCCCACATTGATCGATGCCCTGGCTTTTCTCGCAAGTGATGCTCAATTGTTATTGTGATTGTTTTATAATTGATATTATAATTATTATCATTATCATAAATATTAATATTGTTATTAATATGATCATTATTATTATCATTATAATCATCATTATTATGATCATTATCATCAATATGATAATCTTTATATATTAGTATCATTATCGTTATCATCATTCATAATATTATTATTATCATCATTATCATTATCATTATTATTATTATTATTACTATTATCATTATCATCATTGGTATTATTAATATCATTATTATCATCAGTATTATTATTATCATTATCTTTATAATAATGATTTTTTATAATATCGTTTTTATCATTATTATTATTTTCCACTATTATAGTTGTTTTTTATTGTTGTTATTATCATGACATATATTTTTGTTCTCTTCCTGTACCTACAGATACTGCAATGGGCCGTTGTACTAACGCACAAGAGGACGGTGATAATGAATATGTGCAAGCAGTGGGAAGGTGAAAGATAGTTTGATTAAGTACTTCGAGTTATAAATGAATATAAGAGGCATGAACGTATCTTTGATAACGAATCATAAATATTTTAATTGCTATAAGAGCTAAATTTAGCACAATTTTAAAACAAAATAATTGAATGGTATTCTAGAATTTTTAAGGATAGACTGCCACTACAATGTAATAAAGGGTTTCGGTTAAAGAATCGGAAGTTTTATAATAATAGCATGTAACTAAAGAGAAGGCGTCACGTTAACAATTAAATACCAGATAACTACAAACCTTTCTCTGGGTCCGGCAAAAATCCAGTTTTTGTAGAATAATCACCTTTATGTTGACGACTTTGGACCTATTCTTTGCTCACGTTATAGAATGGGTGAGCTGGTGATTGCTCGAGCTAAGAATCCACTCACTTGGCCAGACTACCTGTTTGGCAAACTAAACGCCGGAAAAGAGCACGACAAAACGTTGAAGATCCTCCACGATGTTACAGACAATGTAAGTTTTTTTTTAAAATAAATAATTGTAATGAAATAAAGGTGAGGTCTATTCTGGAGAGGGAGAGTTGCCCTCCTTCCATTTATTATTGTATTAAGCGTGTAGGCTATCCAATGGACAATGGAGAGTGGGAGTTCGATTAATTCCCCATTCCGGAAATGATGCCTCTTCTTTTTATTCTTCTTCTTCTTTTCCTTTTTTTTCCCTTCTTCTTCTGTTTTTCTTTTCTTCTTTCTGTTCTTTTTCCTTTTCTGCTCCTTTTTCTTTTTGCCCTACTACATCTTTTTCTCTTTTTTCCTTCTTGTCCTTTTCCTTCTTCACCTCCTCCTCCTTCCTTTCCTTCTTCTTCTTCTTCTTCTTCTTCTTCTTCTTCTTCTTCTTCTTCTTCTTCTTCTTCTTACCTGACAATAGAACGGTGAATAAATAGACGTATTAGTAGATTAATAAAGGCTCGTTTAAATACATGGCGCGGTAAACCGCCGCAAAAAAAAAAAAAAAAAAAATATGCCGTCTCGTTTGCTTTTACACCATTATGAAAGATTAAAGTTCTGCGTGCAACAAAATATAACTTGCGTGTATTCACTGAGGTTTGTGATTAAGATACAGAAATGTGAGGCGTCTCACGCTTTACGTCATCATAACAAAATTAACAGTTTTGCCGCGACAAATCTGGCAGAGACTTGAACACTTTTACCTTCGATCAAAATGCAATCTGTTGCATTTTTTTATTACCTAGATGATACAGGAAAGACTAAAAGAGCCTCCGAGTGTCACTCATGAAGATGAGGATGAGACGGTTGCTAGGAGACGCAAAAGAATTGCATTCTTGGACCTTCTCCTGGCGATGCATCGAGAAGATGCGAGCTTTACTCTGAAAGACATCCGGGAAGAAGTAGACACTTTCATGTTTGAGGTATATCTAACAATGTACGTGTCTGCATTGGGGGGTGGGGGGGGGGGGGGGTGTCAGACCAAATCTATACCTAAAAAAGTTCGCCGATAATTTATCCAATGTGATGGTCTACTTTTTAATACCTTATTTAATATATTTTGATGAAAACAATTATATTTCCACTATAAGAGTGAAGAGTGTAAACTTTATCTCGCTTGCCAACAAATTTTAGAAACTGGAAAGTTGACGTTTTGTAGGTATAGGCGTATGCCTGAAAACTTCTCTTCCCTGGCAAATATAGCTTCCCGTATTAAAGTCTTATATGAATACTTCATAGACTGTAAGTAACCCAGTAGAATCAATTATGATAGTTCATTAAGAGATACCAGACACCAGGCCTGCCAGACACCCCAAATAGTAATTTGTTTACCATACCTTGGATATCATACCTTGTAAGTAGGCATAAAGTTATACAAAACTTATTTGCCCTTCGGTGTCCGCTAGTGGATTACTCTTGAATTTGGCGTTGTGCAGTTACGGATGAACATGGACAGTTAAATAGTTCATCGGGATTAAATTTATGGTTTGAGCAAGTGAAATTAACAACAACAATATCAACAACAACACCCTACACACGGCATTCTTCGGGTTACACGGTTAGAAATATGAAGGAAGTTGATAAACACAAAACGAAAACAAAACATCGCTTACGGAACAACTTCAGACTCGGTCCTCTTTATAATGAAAGTTCCCGCTATTCAATCTCGTTTTCACGAGTCCCCCCTTTTTTTTTTCTTTCTCTCTTTTTGTTTGCAGGGTCATGATACCACTGCTGCTGCGATAAGTTGGGCAATCCTGGAGATAGGACAGCATCCAGACATACAGGAAAGACTACACGCGGAACTAGATGAAGTTTTTGGTAGGTCTAGAACCCTACTGGTACCGGTTCTTGTTATGGTTGCATCTCTAGTCGAACAACAACCATTCAGGCTCGTTCAGATTTGACGCGGCAAAACCGCGGCGGTTTCTTTTCTTCTTCATGATGACGTTAAGTGTAATACGCTTCACATGTTGTATCCAAAGACGTTTAAATATAATTGTATCTAATTATCTCAGTGAATACGTGCATGTCGTTTGTTGCGCGCAGTTGCAATTCATTTACCAATCGCGGTAGCATTTTTTGCGGTGGTTTACCGCGATTTACCGCGCTGTATCTGAACAAGCCTTTAGGGCAAGGTCATTTGATCTTAAACCTATATCCAACGTGATTGATTCCTTAAAATAAAGAGACGCAAATCTACACGTGTGTCATCTATGTCTAGACTAAATAAGTTTAATAATGATTTAAATGAGTTTAATGAAGGTTGTCAAACGAGAACGCAGGTCCTCCTTGTATAGCGCATAATCAAATTATCGTGATTATAATATGTCTCTATGTGCTTCCAAAAGGCTTTGGATAATTATTACTACCCCGGTTTTAGCTGAAGCAACCGTAGTGCCCGGTGTATTAAAGGATTAAATCCTACCGGGTACACCCACTTTAAATACACCAGGGTCGAGTGTGTCAAATGTAGATTAAGGTCTTGTCAAAAGGCATTGTTGCTTCGTTGCAGGGATTCGAACCCCGAACCACGTGGTTCACAGTCCAGAGATTAAACAACTAGACCACAGAACCTCTACAGACCACTACAGTTGGTAGTCATAAGCAATTGCATTTTCCATTTGATGATGTTTTAAGAAGAAACGTCATCAAGGAAAAAAAAGCGTGTATCGTTGTTGCTGCATATAATTATAGACAGTCGTTATTAAAGGGAAGTTTGTAAAAATTAATAAAATATTCTTCTTGCCATGCAAACAGGTGATTCGATCCGTCCTGTGACGTCAGACGATCTGTCAAGACTCTCGTACCTTACTCGTATCGTCAAGGAGTCACTTCGTATCATCCCGGCCGTACCTATGGTAGCTAGATCTCTTGACGAAGACATTGTCCTAGGTAAGGTAAACCTTTCCTGGACGCCTCTGGTTAGCCCTAGCGGGCGCTTTGCACTTCGTACTATTATGATTAGCAGAATGCCTAGATAGAATACAAAGCTAGTGTCTGCTACTCTGCTATAGAGTTGAGAGGTTAGGTATAGGACACATTGGACAAATGGAATGACATTGCTCCGTCAGGGAGACACTCTGCCTCATCCACTTCCGTATAATATACCTATGCGTAGCTAGAGGTCTTGATGAATGCATTGTCCTCGATGAAGTAGCTCCTTTCAATGGCAATCCTATGACCCATTGAGGATAAGGATGAGTATAGGGCTACGTGGTCGTGTTCAATGGGATTGTGAAGTTAGCGTTTGGACCAAAAGAATGCCATAGCTCCAACAAGGAGACACTTCGCATTAAGTCTTCCGTCACTCTTATCCAAAAAAGTCTTGAGTCTTTGGTCATAAAGGTAGGGTAACATTTCCGAGGGCGTCTGTGAAGGCAAGTCCTATGTGCCTTTGCACTACATCGGCATGGGATAAGGAGAAACAGTACCTTGGATGCAGGGGCGGTCGAGCGACTTCCAAAGTGGGGGGGCACCAACAAAAAAGGGCACTTTCTGAAGAAAAAAGGGCACCTACAGTGGGAAATCTCAAAGCGAAAATATACAATTTTTTTGACATTGGTACATACCCCTGCATTGTGATTACATTATCAGGGATGATTTCAATATTTGTTTCTCTTCATACATCATACAAGATATCGCTTAAGCATCATACTTTACAGTTGGGTGGGATGTCTGAATATGCATTTACGAGCTAGCGAAGCGAGCGAGAAAATGTTTAAAGATCTGCGAGGTCGCAGTGCGAAAAATTACATCTTATAAAGAGGAAAAAAACCAATCGTGATGGGGTTATAAGCACATTCTCATAACGGAAGACTGAAAAGACCTTTGATAACTTACATAATTATATCATCTTTAAATGTGAGCCAGCGCAGCGAGCGAACTTTGGGGGAAATTGCTCTTAGTCGCTTTAAATAAGGGGCATGTTTAATGATTTCATGAAAAGGGGACAATTATCGAAAGGGATAAGACACTCATTAGAACAGAAAAGGAGCACGTGTCAAAGTACAAAGGATAATTATAAGAGGTGAACATGAGGCATTTTTTTCACCTGAAAAGAGGCACTCACCTGATGAAAAAGAGGCGTTTACGAAAATGGGAAATAGGCATTTGTTGACGGAAAAAGGGCACCCATCAGATTTTGATAGGGGCACTTATAAGAGGTGAAAAGAGGCACTGACCAGATATGAAAAGGGGCACTTATGAAAATGTAAAAGGGGCACTTATAATAAAGGAAAATGTGCATTTGTTGAATGAAAAGGGGGCACCGTTCAAATTTAAAAAAAGGGCCGTTATGAGAAGGGGAGGGAGCTTTTTCTTTTTAATGGGTGCACTTATCATAAGGAAAAGGGGCACTTATTAGAAAGGGAAAGCGGTAGTTATGAGAAGGGGAAGGAGCTCTCTCTTTTTAATGGGGGCACTTATCATAAGGAAAAGGGGCACTTATTAGAAAGGGAAAGCGGTAGTTATGAGAAGGGGAAGGAGCTCTCTCTTTTTAATGGTGGCACTTATCATAAGGAAAAGGGGCACTTATTAGAAAATAAAAGGGGCACATGTTAAAATTAAAGGTGTGCTCATCCGAGTTTAAAAAAGGGGTAGTTATTAAAAGGAGAAGGGGCACTTCTTACAAAGGAAAAAAGGGGCAGTTGTCAAAGTAAAGGAGCACCTCTCAGTTTTGAATAGGGCAATTATCAGAGGTGAAGGGGGCACTTATCAAAAGTGAAAAGGGGCACTTCTCGTACCTGAAAAGAGGCACTTACTAGAGATTAAAAAGGGCACTTATTAAAGATAATTTCAAGATTTATGAGAATGGAAAATGGACACTTATTGCAAAGGAAAATGGGAACGTGTCGAAGGAAAAGGGGCACGTGTCAAAAATAAAAGGGCACTCGTCAGAGGTGAAAAGGGGGGAAGGGGCACTTTTATTTAGTAATAGGGGCACTTGTCAAAGTAAAAGGGGCACTTTTCCTATGTAAAAAGGGGCACTTTTGGGGTATCTGAAAAAGTGGGGGGCACTGTGCCCCCCCTGCCCCCCCGGGAGAACCGCCTCTGCTTGGATGCAGGGGTTGAGAGGTAACATGGTTAGGTTAAGGGTAATTCAGTGGACCGATTGAACGCAATAGCTTCGTGAAGGAGACACTTCGCTTTGCGCCTTCGACCTATGATCGCCAGATACCTTTAGCAGACAATGTCCTAGCTAAAGTGGCCTTCCAAGATCTCTGTAATCATTGAACTTTTTATTAGAAGCATTAAGGCTGCAAGCTAGGAGTAAGATGAATTGGAGCTGATGGAATACCATACTTTCAAGAAGATATTCTGCAAGATCTCTTTTGTTCGTTGGATCAAAGACCTCCTCTTTTTAAAATCCCATACAAATTCGGGTTGAATATTATGCTAGCAATCAACGTCAAAGCAAAACTCTCTTTGCCGAGTTTCACCAGCACCCATAATACCTCACTATATAACCAAGGACAGTGTCTCCTTTAATAGAATTTAATGTCGAGTGCTCCACTTAATATAGCACTTGCCTTTAAAGTAACATTTTCAGAACTCTTATCCACAAGAAGATCTAGTAGGGCCAAAAGTGCATGCACTGCCCTTGAGACACAATAAATGCCGGGGATCCTTGTGCCTTCCTTCTTACAATCCTTGGTATGTCGTTTCTTGAAACCGTAATGTACGATGTGATACATCAACTTTTCTGATAGAATCGATCTGCATTCTTTTATTTTAACAAGCTAACTTGAAGAGTTTGTCCTTTCATGATTCATTCTTTCACAATTTTATAGATGGCAAGGTGGTCCCCAAAGAAGCAATGATCATGCTGCACATCTATGCTCTTCATCAAGACCCGCAACAGTTCCCTGACCCAGATCAGTTTGACCCTGATCGGTTTCTTCCAGAGAATGCTGAAAAGAGGCATCCGTATGCCTTCGTACCGTTTTCTGCAGGTCCAAGAAACTGCATCGGTAAGACCTATAAGAAGAGACTCAGATATACCTACTATCAAAAACGTAGGACAGTGTAAATAGACAAAGTAATATAAACCTACGAAACAACTTTCAAATAAAATGTATATAACAAAACATTGCACTTTGGAAATTCCTACATCACGGTTATAGAAATAATAATTAAAGCAGTTGAAATAAATATCCTTGTGACTTTCGATTTACTATTACCAATATTAGCATAGTAAACTCCACTCCGATATGTATTGGTTCATTAACTCATCTTAAAGTGAATGTTATAATATTAAACCGTGGACTTGTATTCTTTACGAATTGATCCATAAAATGACCCCCAAAATGGATTTATATTCCTGTATGTTTAGAATTTCAGAGGTCATAAATATAATGTAAGCCTTGTCTAACTGGAAACTGGTCTCTTGAAATGCTTCTCTATGATTTTTTGACGCAGGTCAGAAGTTCGCAATGATGGAAACCAAACTCACTCTGGCAAACATTTTCCGAAGATTCTCGATTGAGTCAGTCCAGACCATAGAGGGAGCCAAACCTGCGGGGCAGCTCATCTTGAGACCCGTCGAAGGCAACATACTCGTCAAACTAAGCTGGAGAAAATAGACATGCGAGTCGGACTAGGCCTGTGAATTCTTGTCATCCGCGAGAAAATTTAGATTTGTCATGTTGTATTTTACAGTTATGAATTTTGATGCACACATCTTTTGTCTCAATTTTTGTCGCTCAGGCAAATCAACAAACAATCAAGTAATTAATATTAGCTGATACTAAATTTAACACTGACCTTAAAACGTTCAATACACACTTTCACGGTTACAACAAAATGGCGCCCAATGTGAGCGCGCAGCAATACATGGGCATCTGAAAACATTAATGACGCAATGTTTACTTGCAAATTAAAATGACGGCCTTCACCGTGAAGGCGTGTATTCGTAAGACATTTTAGAGGGCGATATAAAAGTAAATTTGGCGGTATAAAATAATCCCACATCATCGTGTAGATAATGTTTGGATGACTCTTTTCTGAATTTCCCTACCTGCAACGGGAAGCATTTCCCAACAAAATTAGCACATAGAATAAGCAGGATGAGTGACACCTGGTAAACGTCAAATCATTTCGCCGTATAAAATGGAATAGTATACTACCACTAAAAGTACATTGTAGATATTAAACTAACTTTATTTTCATTATTGCAAAGTTGAAACTTTGATTCGGCATAGTTATCAAAATTCAATGTTTGGAAACTTTCAAAGTGATGATTATTATCAATTACAAAATGCTTAAATACTGCCCCGGCATAGCACCTGAAGAGCTCTCCGAACGCTGCAAAGATGTGTGAGATCACAGTATGGACACGATTTGCACAAGCAGACGATGTCCCATGACATCTCACACATTTTCAGTGCCTGTTTTTCATTTTCTCTTGAGTTCTTTCTCTTACTTCACTCCCGTCAGGCTAAATGTATAATCTATTGCCTCACTCTAAAAGCCGCGCATGGTTTTATTTTTATGACAAATGCAGCGATACAAAAATAAAGAAATCTGTCGCTTGTAAACAAAATAAGACACCATTGTACATTTCCAGCTGCATACACCGGGGTATGTTCGGCGTTTCAAGAGGAAACAAACGCCGGGTTTTTTCAATTTGAAAGTCTGGTTTCTTTGATTGTTAATTAACCTCTATCCTGTGTATTTACAAACAAAAGATTTTAGTTATCAGAATCGGTTTCATATCCCCTTATGCCATCACATTTATATACACTAAACTCATTATAATTTGAAAAAATAATAGCTATGCAATTATGTTCATTCTTTATGGGATGTCGTCTGCTTGGGCAATATTGGTCCATATAGTGACGTCATTAAAACGTCGTTATTTTTCCGGCGAATCTCTCGTATATCCCAGATGCTACGGAGGTGGTTTTATTTGTAATTTTATAAATCACCCGATATGTAGTTGACCTAAAACTTGTACGATGGCCATCTGTTAGCTTACCAGTTTCTAGTGATGCATTAGTTGACTTATTTGTGATTTTCTTTGAATGTCAACTTTAAAAAGAAAAAATATGATTAGTTTTACACTTCATCGTTATTATTGTTGACCTGATGAACTATTTATCATACTTCATTAACAGATGTGTCAAGCTATTGATTTATATTTAATTGTACATGCAGCAATTATGTAAAAGATTTATTGTATCCTTTCATGTAATATGTTTTGTAGACTGAAAAGTATCAATAAAACATCATCGAAATATATACAAAAATAATGATATTATTATTTTAAAAGAAGTAGTAGAAGTGGTAGTGGTAGTTGGTTAGTAGTATCATTATCATGGAGAAAAACAATTAAAGATCAATTAATTCAATTTTTGGTCAATATTTACATGTTTCTTTAAATTAATTCAGCCAACATTCCTGGAACATGAGTTGATGTAGCTCTCCTTTTTTGTATTAAGACTTCGATGAGTTGAGGCTTATGACGGTTTCGAGAAACTTTGTTAAACACCTGGGCCCGTTTCTCGAAACCGGCATACGTCTCACTTCATGAAGAAATCAGCGCTAGTAAGCTATTGGTCGGCTACGCGTTTGACGAAACCCTCTTTGCAAGGATCAAAGCCTGACTAAGGATTATCCCACTGATCTGTACGTAAAATACAGATCAGTAGGCAGTCAAACCGCAACGTGCGCGATATATTATGCCTTTTTTAAAGCAATGACGGTAAGGATTTAAGAAAGTTTCAAGCAAAGAGAGAATAAGACATACCAAGCTCCTCGGACAGACAGACATACAGACAGACAAATCTCCTTGGACAGACAGACATACAGAAGAAGGAAAAAGAGGTAAGGGTAATAGACTGAATCGTCAATGGAAGATTCCTTACTTTATTAATAGTGATCTTAGAGTTTTGATTCTTTAATAATTGTCCGATATTTCTGTAACTTCTCAAAAACAATTTTTTTTCTTCTGATTTGTATACATCTGGGGGACGTATTATGAAACAATTAGTCGGTGGTTTTCACCGACTAATATCATGTTCACCGACAATTCTTTTGTCACCGACTATATTCCAGGCCTGTGATTGGTCAAATTTAGTCAGCACTGACTAAATTGTTGGTGAACATGATATTAGTCGATGAAAACCACCGACTAATTGTTTTCATGAAACGCCCCCCCTGTTTTTTTTTAGATACCAACTGTCTGCGAGTGGCTAATTCTCCTGTTTTAATGACAATAGACAAAACATCACTTCTGGAATATGCAATGGGTTGCAATGAAATTTAATGTTTTATTTTTACTACATTTTTCTTTAGAAATTGATGTTACAAAATATATCACTGTTGTTTACTGTAAAATAGTTGTTGATCTTTACACAATACAAAACATGATTTAATATTGTACATTGCAGCAATTGCAAAGAATTATGCAAGTATATGTACATCATCCTGAATACTGTAGATAATAGAAAGACAATTTTGACGATCAATTAATTATAGCAGACAATCAATGAATTCTAAAAGGCATTCAAAGAATTCTAGAATGCATTCAATGAAGTCTAGAAGACATTCAATGATTTCTAGAAGACAATCAATGAATTCTAGAAGGCATTCAAAGAATTCTAGAATGCATTCAATGAATTCTAGAAGGCATTCAATGAATTCTAGAAGGCATTCAAAAAGTTCTAGAAGGCAATGAATGAATTCTAGAAGGCTATCAGTGAATTATAGAAGGCATTCAACGAATTGGAAGACATTCAATGAATTCTAGAAGACAATCAATGAATTCTAGAAGGCTATCACTGAATTATAGAAGGCATTCAATGAATTCTAGAAGGCAATCAATGAATTATAGAATGAAATCAATGAATTCTAGAAGGCAATCAATGAATTCTAGAAGGCAATCAATGAATTCTAGAAGGCTATCACTGAATTCTAGAAGGCATTCAATGAATTCTAGAAGGCATTCAATGAATTCTAGAAGGATATCGATGAACACGTAGGAGAATAATTACTGATAATTTTATATCAATATATACAACAACCAACCCATTCTAATCTGGTGACATATTTCTATTCCACAATTGCTGATTTTTAGCTTGGAATTGTAAGTAAGGTGAACACCTTTGAATTTTCGAGCAGTATCTTTCTATAGCAATAGAAAAAAACCCTAAAAGGGGGATATTAATGTGAATGAAGCAACGTCAGCCCAATCAGACCACAGTTCTAATTTAGTTTACAAGTCACAGACTCACAAATGCATATAATGTCAATATTGAAAATTAGTACTGTCATCATTGGCCTTCCCCATTTATGTGTACATGGTTCCACTTTAAATGACTTGAAGACAAGCAAAGGAGAATGCATCTCTTCCCTACCTTATCTGATAGGACTACACTTGTATAACATGCATAGGAAATCTACAATTATATTCATGTAAAAACACTAAACATTTAGATATACAGGTGAATCAGATTTAAGGGGTGAAAAGAAATAAACATTTATTTCTTAATAAATTTCAACACTTTAGACACACGTAGGAGGGAGGTACACAGCCTTGCCACAATCGACTTTACAATCCCTCCATTTTAGAAGAAATCACATGAGTGGCATTTCTTTTTATTATTTATTCATCATGTACACACTAAGAAAAAATGGTGCAAGTATGCACCTTTAGGGGTGCAAACCGATGCAACACTGGCAGCACCTTTAGGGGTTAAATCCTGCACCCTTTTCAAAGGTGCAATCCTGCACCTTTTAAATGGGTGCCAGATTGAACCTTTTAGGGGAAATGTTAGTACCCTTTATGCATGGTTCAATCCTGCTCCATTAGGGGTGCAAACCGATGCAACAATAGCAGCACCTTTATGGGTTCAATCCTGCACCCTTTAAGAGGGTGACAGATTGCACCTTTTAGGAGATATGTTAGTACCCTTAATGGTTCAATCCTGCTCGATTAGGGGTGCAAACTGATGCAATAGCAGTACCTTTAGGGGTTCAATCCTGCACCCTTTACAATGTGCAATCCTGCACCCATCATCGAAGAATACTCTTGAAAGTCGCTCGTACACAAATACATATTAAACATGCATGATGTTTCTTGGTTAGTAATCATATAATCAATTATTGGTTAATAATATATATCATATATCTATTGCTAAAACGTGAATGTAATTGTAACATGATCAGACAAAATAATCTATTATTTCGTCGCTGTTTTCACGAAGTGACGGTAGCGAAAAAAAATTGCATTCACTTTGCGTTACGATTTTCCTCGCTACCGTCACTTCGTGAAAACAAGGACGATTTAATGATTGCCGAAGGAAAATAGAAATCTTAAAATTAATGTGCAGTGTCATAATTTGCTTAAAAAATCATGATAAATGTATTTTTATGTAAACACGTGTAAACTATTCATGAATATGCATGCAATATGTAAACTCTTATTTTGCACCCTTTTTTCTTAGAGTGTACAGTCTTGTATCACTGCTTCTTTGCGTTCAATATTTACAAGTAAAATCATCCCAGAGCTACCAATACACTGAAAACTTGTTTCTGCTGATTACCAGTAATGTTAAAATAGAGACAGTTGGGATTTTTCAATCAAGGATTACTACATAAAGAAACATTGATAACTGTACTGGTCGTAAACGATCAATTTTGTCCTCCTACAAAAAGTAAGTCTATTTGCAAAATATAAGTCATTGATTTGGTGTCAAGACCATCTAAATGCAACGGACAAAAACTGCTTTTAACCACATCCATTATGTTGACCAATGATGTGTTTCAATTTTTTTTAATGATTAAGAAATCACTTTCCTGAATCAATCTAACTTAATATTTGATAGAAGAGGAATCACAAAACCATCTGAGGCACCTTAAACAGGCCATGTAGATAAAGGCCCAGACTGGTATATTAAATTAGGTAATCCAAAATACTTAAATGTATTGGTGACAAATGTGTCATCACGTAGACAATCCAAAATCATGTGCAACAAACGTGTTACAAATAAGTGTGTGCTCATATAATTTGCTCATCCATTATGGCTTGTCAATCAAAGCCTCCAAATAATTGGCTTTAGCCTGCGAGGGAGTTGTTTTAAACTTGGGGTAACATAATTAGCCCAAAGCTTCAACTGAATACCAAAGTTGACTAGTATTTTACCCAAGCCGATAGCTGAGTAAACATTAATCTTTCTGATGTAGTATTGAATTGAATACTGAACCAGGACCCTATTAGTCTCGTTTGTTGATCATGATCTCATAGGAGAGAAGGAGTCTACCAGATGCCGTCTGAGGAATCATCTTCAAGATGTCTTCAGACTCCTTTCCTTGGACCTTGCTGAAGGTGTAGTTCTGCAGGAACCAGGTAAATATAAGGAAGAGATCAGCCTTGGCCACGGCTTCACCTAGACAGCCACGACGACCCGCTCCAAAGGGCAGGAAGCTTGGAGGATGATCACGGATAGTGCCACTTCCATCCATGAAGTGCTCTGCGAGAAAAAAAATAATTTAGTTTAATAATAATAATAATGTTAATAGTGTAAATTTATAGAGCGCACATACCGTCCAGGGACACTGGGTTGGCGCTAGCTATTTATTAGTTTAGTGCACTAATAAATAAAGAAAGTACAAGAGGTGATTACTATACAATCAAGATTGTATTCTATTAGAGTTTTATACACTATCAGCAATGAATACTCGCGCTAAGCCTAAAGCACAAAGCGAGGCCCATCCATCCCAACCTCTCATCAGTGCTGAACAACTTGTTGATCTGCTTCAAAACGATGAACTTCTTACGATATTCCAAGTCGTTGTCAACAAGGCGATCGACAAGATACTGGCAGGAGTGAAGGAGCAACTTCTTGAAAGGATTGAGCAGAATGCAGGAACTATCTTGGATCTGCACTCTGCTGTCGAGCAGAAAAGAAAGAGGTTGATCATCTCAATGTTGAGCTGACAAAGCAGCAAGACACCATTGGTCGCCTGGACGGGGAACTTGAGGAGCTGAAGCAGTACTCTAGGAGAAACAACATCAGAGTTTTTGGTTCTCTTGAAAGTGCAGGTGAGATCACCGATGATGTCGTGATTGACATCGTGGTAAATCAACTAGGAGTCGAGCTTCGGTCTTCTGACATCGACCGCTCTCATCGTGTGGGCAAGCCAGGTGGACCGAAAGCACGTCCAATCATCGTAAAGCTTACTTCCCACAAAAAAGAGAAATCTTGAAGGAGAAAAAGAAACTCAAGAAATCAAAAATCTCAGTTCATGAGGACCTTACCCGCTATAGACACAGTTTGCTACTTGCTACCCAGAAGAGCGATAGAGTCACAACCTGCTGGACTATGGATGGGAAGGTATTTGCGAACGTTCCATCCACTCATGGTGAGTCTGTAATACGACTTATCCCAAATATTGAATTTCCCAACTCTCTCCCTAAACTTCTCTAATGAATGAGTATCATTAACCTGCTCGAGCTATTTACAAATGTAGGAACAGCAGTGGTAGTTCTCTTTCCTCACTTGCCGGAAATATGTTTATTTTTCACTGATAATGATAGTGTCAATGATTCCTGACAGTGACATTTCACTTGCTGTATTTTTTTTTTTTTTACTGATTTATCTTTCTTATTGTGTACATATTTGTATGAATTTAATGTATCTTAGTCTTTGTCAATGAGACTTTGCTTTTGATTAACTTAAGTAAAATATTTTAATCTTTTTTTATAAAGCCCTTTTTATAATTCCTTGTTTGTGTGTAATTTTTTTGTATTTTTTTGTTCTTCTTCTTCTTAGCTGTCGAAGTTACTGTGGGGTGTTGTTTTTATTGTTGTTGTGGTGGTACATGTATCAATCTTGTGTGCCATAACCTATTCTTGAGATTGGTACATATTTTTTAACCATTATTTATATAGCTGTAATTTACATGTATAGTAGGTGGTACTTTTTCTAATGCCTTTATCTGATTTCCGCAAAGAGGATAGTACACCATACCTTCTAGAAGATCAATTCAAAGAGTTTATAAATGAAGTTGACTCTAAGACTTCATTATCATTTATACATTTTAACTGTCGTAGCCTAAGGTCTTATTTAACATTTACAATACGTTTATTTTATCCACTATTTCTTACTGCAATACTGTTTGGGGAAATATCTATTGTACACACTTACACAAACTAATTATATTACAGAAGAAAGCAATACGTAATTCAAGTTATATGACACCCTCATTCCCACTATTTTACAATTTATGTACACTTAAGTTATTAGATATAAACAAACTACAAATATGTTCCCTTATGCAAAGATTTAATACCCACACTCTGTCTTTATATTTAATGAATATGTTTTCTTTAAATTCTCAGATTAATAGTTATCTAAGAAACATTTAATCTGTTCATATTAATTACTTTTAATTGGTTAAATATCTTTTCTTAAATTATCCTGTAGAACCATACCATACTGTTTGATGCTCTTATATGTTTCTTTTATATAATGTTTGTCATGTTTATGTTCTCATGTTCTATGTTTTTATGTATTGTTTGACCAACGTCTAATTTTTATAATAATAATGTAACAAACAAATACACAAACTAGGAGAACACACCCTAACAAGCCAAAAACCTGGCTTTTATTGTGTTCATCATTTTCCAACTATCCAACTATCCAACTATTAATGTAGCCTGTACCTTGTTTCTCTTTGATTACTATACTTGTTTTGTTTTGTTTTCTTCTTAATCGTTTGATTGAAATATCATAGTTTATAATGTTTTTATTGCCTATTGACTGTTTTTTACACATTGTTTTTAATTGATGTTGGAATTTGGAAATAAATGATTTGATTTGATTTGATTTGAAGGAAGAATTATGAAAATATATATGATTACATAGCTTCTCTGTCAGTCACATTTGACGTGATAGCTCTAAATGAAACTTGGATGAATCAGGATGAAATTTTTTCATTATTTGTTCCTCCAAATTATTCTTATGTAAACTGTGGCAGAGTTAAAGGTCATGGAGGAGGTGTTGGAATTCTGATACACAATAATTTAAAATATTTTCATCGTTCTGATCTTACTGTAGTAAACAAACAATATGAAATGATCTTTATTGAAATTCCAAGAGAGAGTGACAAAAATATTTTAATCAGAGCTATTATGAATAGACCGCCTAATCATTCGGTTGGAATATTCATCAATGATATCTATACAGTGTTATCCAAACTCCAAAAAGAACATAAAGACTGTTAACTTATGGGCGATTACAATATTGATTTAATGAAAATGGATGTGTGCCTTTATGTAAATGACTTTGCCGAACTAATGGCATCTCATTGTTTTTTCCCAATTATTTGTAATCCGACTAGAATTACTAAGGAAAGTGCAACTTTTATCGATAACATTTTTTCAAATACAGTACATGAAGTTTTAAAAATTGGTATTCTGACCTATATTTACCACTCTCTCTTGGAATAAACCAGTGAATTCCGAAAGAGTATTTTATAAACGCAAGATAACCGACTCTGGTTTTCAATTATTTAATACCTTGAATTTTCAAAATATGTATAATACATCTGATGTTGATATGAAGTATAATCTCTTCATGAATGCTTTTAAAAACATATATGTTTCCTGTTTTCCACTTAGAAAGATTACAATTAAGGAAAGGGAAAGTGTTAAACAAATTAGAAAAACGGTGTAAAAAAGAAGAATAGATTGTATTAAATATATCTTTCCAAACCATCACTGGAGAAAGAACCTAATTTTAAAACATTTCGAAATAAGCTGAATAAAGATATAAGATATGTGAAAAAAGAATATTATTTACATAATTTCAGTCCGTGGGAGGCAATATGCAAAAGACTTGGAAGTATATTAATGAAATAATAAGGAGGAAACCCCAGGGTGTCCATCCTGAATTTATTTTAAATGAAGGTGACAAAATTTATGACAATATAAGAATTACAAAGTTGTTCAATGTCTATTTTGTTTCTATTGGAGCCTCACTAGGAAATCAATGCTCTTCCACAAATGACTTCAATTGTTTTTTACAAGGTAATTATTCCAATTCTTTTTTCTTAAAACCTATTACTGAGGGAGAAATTGTCGAGATTGTTCGTAGTTTTAAAGCAAATAAAAGTGCCGGACATGATGATATTGAACCAGAGATTGTTAAGAAAACTATACATGTTTATGCCAAACACCTTTGTCATATTTTTAATGAGTCTTTTATTTCAGGACAACTTCCAGATCAATTAAAATTAGCAAAAGTAATACCCCTTCATAAAAATCTCTGTAAAGAAAAAATAGAAAAGTATCAACCTATTTCTATCTTGCCAATCTTTTCAAAAATATTAGAAAAATTGGTCTACAAACGTCTCATTAACTACTTGAATAAGAATGATATTTTATATGCTAAAAAATTTGGATTTCGTGAAAAACACTCAACATCCATGGCTCTAACTGAATTTTTAAATCTTGTAACGCAGGCATTGGAAAATAAGCTAATTCCAGTTGGTATATTTCTTGATTTATCTAAAGCGTTCGACTGTACTAACTATTGTGTTGCCTTGTATATTTCAGAAAGCGTTGATTTCTTGGAGAGACCGGACTTAACTATAAATAACTCATTCCTTCAACCTGCATTTATTGAAATTGTTGACGTTAATTCTAAAAATATTATTGTTGGAAATATTTATAGGCCACCTAATACTGACATTGATTCTTTTCTAGGTGAGTTAGATTCTCTTCTTTCTTCAATACAGACAGAAACAAAATTATTATACTCAATTGGAGACTACAATATTAATTTATTAAATACTGAAAGTCACGCAAAAAGTAAAGAATTTCTTGATACTATGTTTCTCTACAACTTATTTACAGTCATCACTAAGCCTACAGGTATCTCTGATAAATCTGCTACTGTGATAGATAACATCTTCACGAATGTAATTCAAATTGAACATGATGGAGGGCTATCGTACTCAGATATTTCAGATCATTAAAACTCTTGATAAATTTTTAAAAAACTCTTGAAAAATGAAATGTTCTTGCAGTACAAAAACCACGCTCAATTAAATAATGAATAATTTGCTTCACTTGTTCTTTTTTTAATTTTTTATATTTTGTATATAAATGTTTTGTAATACTGCAAAGCGCCAGCGGGGGCGCATATAGGGACGCAGTGTCGCTTGACGTCGTGTCCCATGTGCGTTCATGGCTGGTGCTTTGCTGTAAATGTTTTATCCTTATATAGATCTTATAATCTTTTCCCCTGTATATATTTGTTTTCCCGTTAATGTTTTTTTAAATAATTTTTCTCGATATATCTGTCATGGTTGGTGCCCCAATCACAAGTTTGTTTTCAAACTTCTTCAGGGGCTCCTAACCCCATGTTTTTATATTTTTATGAATTATTATTGTATATGTATTTTTATGGTTGAATAAATAAATTGAATTAATTAAAATTCTATTTTGTTACAAAAGCTATCATTTTATGGCATACGGGGAACTCCTCTCAAATGGTTCAAAAATTACCTTTTGAATAGGATAACAGTTTGTTAAATTTAAAAAATGTTTGTTCTCAATCACAGATCTTTTCAACAGGAGTACCCCAAGGCAGTGTTCTTAGTCCTATTGTTTTAGTTGTTTATAAATGATCTACACTTTGTGTCAGACCAGCTTAATTTTGTTTTATTTGCTGATGGCACCAATATATTATTATCAGGGAAAACTGTGCAACATGTAAATGAGGTTTTTACACCAAGAACTTAGTAAAAATTTGCAAATATTTCACTGCTAATAAACTTGTTGTTAATAATTATGAAAAGAACTAATTATATCGTATTCAGGAGAAGAAAGGTTGGAGGTGACTTTAATGAATTTAATGTAAAATTTGATAATGTGTTGCTCACCAGAGTTAATTCAACTAAATTTTTAGGAGTTTACATAGAAGAGTACCTTTCTTGGAAAAGTCATGTCAGTTACATATCTTCAAAAATTGCCAGTGTACTGGGATTTATTTAAAGTGTTAATAAACTGCTTCCCCAAAAAATATTAATGAATTTGTACAATACCCTAATCTTGCCACATTTTTCATATGCTGTCTTAGCTTGGGGTGGATGTTTAATTACCTTAACAAACCGTTTGCAGGTTTTACAAAAAAGGCTGTTCGTGCAATAACAAACTCTCCATATCTTGCACATACTGTATCCTTGTATAAACGCTTGAATATTTTGAATGTGACATCTCTATATTATATGCAACTCGCTCAATTTATGTTTCTTTTCAAGAAAAATCAGCTGCCATGTATTTTTAATGAGATGATCATTGTTAATGCTGAAATTCACTGTTATGAAACAAGAAGTTCAAATTAGTTTCATTTGCCCTCTGTTAAAACAACTTTTCTTCAAAGGAACATTTATTTTAGTGGACCATCACTATGGAATTGAATTCCCAATGATATTGTCAGCTGCTCATCACTTTATTCTTTCAAGTCAAAATTGGAACAATATTTGATCTCGTATCGTACTCTTAAGATTTAGTTTGTACGGCGTTTCTTACTATTTTTCTCACTATTTCTTTCCTTTTTTTCTTTCTTTCTTCTTTCCTGCAAATCATTCATTTCCTCTCTATATTGTATTTCTTGGTGCCACCAACCCACTTCTACTCACCTCACACATAGATTTGCATGTAATATTTATATATGTTTTTGTATGTGTTTATTGTTTATTTAAAAAAAAAACTATTGTATTTTGATATTGTAAACCTCTGTGGTTTTTGATCACCCCCTCTGCAGGTTCATCTTTGTTGTAATGCTTTAATATTTTATTGTAATTTATATTTGTCTTTCATGAATCTGTGGAAATAAATGAAATTGAAAAATTGAAATTGAAGATATCCCTCTCAGAGGTACGTTGTAGAAATCATTTTTACCTGGCATGAACTTGTCCGGTTGGTCCCATTCTTGAGGGTCATAGTGCATGGAGTGTGTGTTGATCATCACCACTGTCCCTTTAGGGATATGATAGCCACCTGCAAAGTCAACGGGAGCCAGGAACATTTAATGTAAGCAACAGTTTTAATACACAAGCAATCTCTAACACTGTAACACAAAACCATGACCTTTATAGACAGATAGAAAGTATGAAAGGCAACACTGAGTGCAGTTGAAACAAGTATCAATTGACAAAAGATGATGCATTCATATGCATATAACTTATACATCCCACGTGTAATATTGAAATTTGAAAAAAATCTATTTCCATAACTTTGAGGATGAGTTCGGTTCTATACATCAACAAACCATCAGCAGTTTGATCTCGATACATTATGTATCACGGTATATTTTGGGGAAGACATTTTCCCGATTTTTCTGCAACCTGCTGCGCCTCGCCGCGTGAAAATCCTCAAACATTATCTTATCCCTCATTTGACATCACGGACAGCTCAAGAAAGAATAAGAATCCACAAGATAATGCATTTAAGTTTTAACCATAACTACGATCACTTGCATCTACTTTACACATAAAGCGCATTATAGCTTTTCACACATTACTGCCTCACGATCTTTCTCTCTAGGAAGTGCTGGAATATGCCTGACATAGCAGTACCTAGCATATTTCAAAAAGTGTGTCCCATACGCCCCTCCATCCACCCATTAAAATGGCTTTTAATTAATGAGGAATCTTTTCTCATTATTACCGAATTCTGTATCCCTGGTAGTAGCATGAGGAAGAGCGGTCGGAGCAATACTGCTGTACCGCAACACTTCATAGAGGCTTGCCTCCGTGTAGGGGAGCTTCCCGCGGTCATTGATGGTAGGAAGACGATCACGGCCGATGACATCGTCGATCTCGGCGCGGATCTTTTCCTGGATTTCTGGGTAGGTTGCAAGGAGAGCCATGGCCCAGTACAGGGTCTCAACGGTTGTCTGAATACCAGCTATAAAAATACAAAAATATGCAGTTTTTGGCATTAGTTCTGACATGTAGGAATTTCTAGTTTCTGCGATTTTAAGATTTATCGACATCAATTAAAAAAATGATTAAAAATACGAATTTTGTGTTCAGTTTTGTCCTCTTAGAATTTAATTCTTTTTGGAGGGGTTGATTGAGATCCATTATAATTTTTTTTAATCAATAAAGACATATCTAAAAGGTACGTCAAATTTAGAGGTATAGTGTACTGAATTGATATAAATTAAATAGCTGTTACACAGAGGATTTTACATCCGGGATCTGGATGTCATTTAACAAAGGCAGCTAGCCTCATGAAGAGATGAATTGGGCAAAAATATAATTATTTTCAAAATATGGTACATTATCTGCATCAAGATGAACAAAAGAAAAGTTATACTATGATAAAAAGTGGTATAGGCACAACTTACGCCTGAAGTGGGGGGGGGGGGGGGGAGCGGGGGTTGGTGGCTGAGGCTGAATTCTCTTGCCAGAATATAAACTTTCTAATTTCAAAAGTTTGTGAGCAAATGAAGTGAGCTATCAAAAATTGTTGTCATGTTCTTTACAGTGAGAATGTCATTTATCAGATGACAGCTGCCCAAATATTCAATCTTTGTAATAACTTCATTTGTATACAAACAGAAAAACAAACAAAACTAGACTTTAATTCGTCACTTTGACGAATTAGGTGATACGTGCTTTTTTGTTATCATGAAAGTGTGCCGATGATGATTTAATGATAATGATCATAAATACGATAAAGACCATCATTAAGAGTGGTATAGCGCCCCCTTCAGGTATTCGATAGAGATTTGTAGAATCAGGATTTCAGAAAAAGTCGCCTAACACGCAAACTAAGAAAATTCTGACATGTCACCTTTAATTGAAATTTTCACTATGATGATGTCATCGAAATGATAAATGATGTACGTCAATATTGTAGATAATTTATTAGCTACACCGTATCAGAATTTGGGAGAACATAGAGTACAAATAAGCTAGATAGTGCTCAAAGATCAATGTCATGAAGATTCATGATTTGAACGAAATTCACCTTCCTCAGGCATAACACGCAAATTAAGAAAATTCTGAAATGTGGCCTTTAATTGAATTTTGTACTATGATGACGTCAATGAAATAAAAAGTAGTGCGTATTTACCTTGAAGGCAATTGCCTCAACTACAAGATACCGAAATTTGGAAGAAAATCAGTCAATATTATGAGAAATACACTAAATTTTCCATAAATATAATGACGTCATAATATGCAATTTTGTATTTTGATTTCAAGGCCATTATGATGACGTCAAGATGTATTTAATGGCCTAATAAGATATGAAATCATATCTCCGACTCATACTGTATCTAAATATGAAACAAAATTGGCAGTCCTTATTCATCCCGATGTACTTTTTATAGGCATGTTTTTGCCCATATATGCTATGTAATACATGAGCTCGCACGCACGGATATTTATCTTCAACGGACGCTCATTCCGTTATTAATAGTGATAAAAAGATGAACATGGTATCAAATTGTTCAGAAAAATATGAGGAATATCCTGTCAAAAAAAATTGAGGGGTAATTATTTTTTGTTCGGCCGTGACGAACGAAAACGCGCAAAAATGCGCGTTTTGCGCGATTTTTTATAAAATGCTTATAATGGCCTAAAACGTATGCAAAAAAAATTTAAGACGATTTTGAGCAATTTAAAATTTTACGCGCGCGTTAACGCGCGCACAAACGCGTACGCGCATTTTTGCGTGCATTTATTGACCTGAAATTGACCGGACGGATACTGATCTTAATCCTGATAATTATAAATGAGAATTTCCTTTCCGTTATGAAGATATGATCATAAGTTGATTTTCACAAAATGGCGCCTAGATGACGTCACGATGACCTTGAGTCATTGAAAAGTCATGCAGTTCTAAGTTAGACTAAGATCTATCATCATGGCAAGTTTCATGATAATGGCTTTATTCAGTCTTGAGATATCCTGCGAACAAATTCGAGGAAGAATAATAATAAATAAACTAGACTTTAATTCGTCACTTAGACGAATTAGGTGATACGTATGATAATGGTTTACATAACGAATAAGGCATTACACGATATATTATTTTGTAAAATGCTTCTCCCATTATGATCTATTCATATGTCAAGATTAAATTGTGTCTCCTTGATCATCTTGGATCTAGGGAAGATAGATTGAAACAATATATGACCTTTGACCCTGTGCAGTAACCAGTTACACATTTGACTCTAATTTACATCATGAAGAACACCTTTTGACGATTTTATCTTATTCAAAGAAATGAAAATGTAATTGATAAATGATAATGAAGATGATCATGATCATGAGCGTGATCCTGATATCTTATTGAAAAAATGAGGGGTGATTTAGATAGCATATAGTCTCAGCTACAACATCCTCAAATATTAACAAAATCCAAGCAGGAATAACGGCGATATTGCTCGCAAAAGACAGAAATGTAGAATCCAGATTTGAGGAAAAGTCATCTCCCATAGGGATTAGACACAACAAGTAATCGTTTAAGTGAAAATAGGGTAATAATAAAGCAAATAGTTTATTCGCAGATGTACGTGTTTTAATAATCAAAGGAGATGGTACAGTGAAAGGTCAAAAAGAAAAAAAAAAAGTAAAGGAAAAAAAGTGGTTGGAGACGCCCAGACTCGAACCAGGGACTTCGAGGATAGAATTCAAGTGCGTTAACGATATACCAAAACAATTCACATAGCGATTACACGTAAACGGAAAATTGGATTCTCAAATCCCACTTTGCAAGTGCAATATGAGCATGATCCCGGCATCTAATCGAAAAATAAAAGACACATTTGAGATAGCTTATTGTCTCCGCTACAACATACTCGAAGCTCAGCGTAAACAAAGATAAAACAACAGAGATATTGCTCGCGAAAGAGGGAAATGTAGAATCCAGTTTTGAGAAATAGTCATGTCCCATAGACAATACACGCAAAATGTGAAAAACTGACATGCCTCCTTTAATCGCAAAAATACGCCATGATACCTTTGCCAAACTTGAAAGGTGTGGTCACTGCATTTGTAGAAAATTATCTCAGCTAGAAAATATCGAAATTAAAGAGAAAAACAATCTATATTTACAGAAATACAATCAATTTCCCAAAAATATGCAAACGTCATAATATGCAAATTTAAATTTTGAGTTTGGAGGCCATTATGATGACATTATGACTTAATTGAGGGTCAAATGAGACATGAAATCATATCTCCATTTCATAATCTATCCAAATATGAAAAAATATTAGGAGTTTCTATCTATTCTAAAGAGTTAAAATGAAATTTATATAGGCATGTTTTTGCCCATGTATTGTGGATAAAGATAACGCAAATCCGCGCGTGCTGTCAACTTTGACGGACGCTCATTGCGTTAATAAACGGTGAACAAATTATCAAAATGCTTGGAAAAATGTACCGAATATGATGACAGAAAAAAATCGGCGATTCTATGTTGCAAAATGCCAGTACGCGCGAAAACGCGCGCGCATGCGCGTGTGCGTAATTTTTTTATCAAATGCTCCATATGGCCTGAAACGTATGCAAAAAAAAATTGGGATGATTTAGAGCATTTTAAACTTTTGCGCGCGCGTAAACGCGCGGACGAGCGCGCACGCGCGCATTTACGCACGTTTATTGACCTCAACTTGACCGGACGGATATTGATCTTAATCATGATAAATATGAATGAAAAATTATTATTCGTTATAAAGATATGATCATTAGTTGATTTTCACAAAATGGCGCCTGGATGACGTCACGATGACTTTGAGTCTTTGAAAAGTCACGCAGTTCTAAGTTAGACTAAGATCTATCATCATTGAAAGATTCATAACAATGGCTTTGTTCAGTCTTGAGATATCCTGCGAACAAATTCGAGGAAGAATAATAATAAATAAATAAATAAATAAATAATAATAAAAATCTTGACGAAATCAAAAGGTGATACGTCTACGTACGTATCACCTAATAAATAATAAAAATCTTGACGAAATCAAAAGGTGATACGTCTACGTACGTATCACCTAACTAGAAATTTATTTTGTCAAGGGGACGAATTAGGTGGTCTGTCTTCACTTATGATAGATTTGAGAATGGGAGAAGACATGTAAACAATGATGATCATGATGACCATGACGATGGTCATGATAGTAAAGGTGATGAAGATGATGATAACGATAATGTTATATGATGATAAAAACGATAATGTTAATGATGATGATAAGCATGAGCATGATCCTGACATCTGATAAAAAAAAAATGAGGAAATGATGATCATCATGTTGATAATGGTCATGATGATGATGGTGATGACAATGGTGATGATGATGACGATGATAATGATGATTATGATGTTGATGAGGATGATTATCATCATTATGATAATGTTGATGACCATGATCATGAGCGTGATTCTGACATCTTATCGGAAAAATGAGGAATGATTTAGATAACATATAGTCTCAGCGACAACATTCTAAAATTTGGGAGAAAACTGTTAAATAACAACCGAGATACTGGTCAAAACACATTCTCATGCAGATTCATGTTTTGAAAAAGTGACCTCCCATAGACATAACACGCAAATATGACAAATTATGCATTGTCGCCTTTAATCGAATATTTCACTATGATGACGTCATCCAAATGAAAAATAAATAAAATATTTCTTGTAGAAAATTATCTCAGCTACATCATTTCAAAATCTGGGAAAAAATCAATCACCGATAAGCGAGATAATCTCAATTAAACAAAGACAAAAATGACGTCATCAACAAAATACATTTTTTTTAGTTTAGATGTCAATATGATGACTTTGTTTCACTTTGTACGAGTCAGGGTGGTATGAAATCATATCTCCAACTCATGCTTTCTCCAACCATGATATAAAAATTGGGGGTCGACGGACTATCTGAATAGCTATTTCGATTTTTAAAATGGCATGTTTTTGATCAAATTTGCATTATATTGCCCATAGCAGCACGCGCGGATTTTGAACTTTGACGCGAGCTCAAGGCCTTATGAAAGGTCAAGAGTGACTGAAATTAATGTAAATTGTCAATTACGTTAAGAGGAATCTAAATCATGTAAACATTTTGAATTTGACCTTTTCCGCGCGCTGTGAGCGCGCACAACGCACGCGGGGACACGTACGGCTGGAAAATTTTGAAATGCTTGAAATGACCTGATTCGTACTCTCGTTTAATAGTTTAGTGATTTTGAGCAATTTTAAATTTTGATGCGCGCGTTTGCGCGCGTCATGACCTTTATTTGACCTTCGATGACATGACCTGTTGACCCTTGACCTGAAGGTTATGTGATATGAATATGAATGACCTTTGATGACGCGTCATGAAGATATGATGGATAATGTGATTTCACAAAATGGCGCCTGGATGACGTCATGAAAAATTGATGACCTTGAAAATGTTCCTGTCACTTCTCACGACAATGACGTATGACTGTGCCAAAATTGAAAGAAATTAACACAACTGATCGTGAGTTATCCTCGGAAAAAAAAAGGGGGAGAAATAAAATAAAAGAAAGAAAATTCTGACAAAATCAATAGGTGATCTGTCTACGACAGACCACCTAATAAAATGTTTGAAATATAATATCACTACATCTATGCGAATCTCAAATTGGCAATGTGGCTAGTGTATTGTGATGTATTCACACCCAACGCTAGTGATTGTTGAACTAATTTCTCATTTCTAATCTATTTTCAAATACATTACACGCACGTCCATGAGGGGGGGGGGGGGGGTTCGATTAGCCCCCTCCTATGCCCTTTAGAATTAATACAGGAGCACCGACTGGTACCTTTAGTTCACAGGCTAATACATTAATCATACATGTACCTCCAAAGATATCAGCGATCGTCTGGAAGATGTGAGTATCGGTCAGTTTGTCCACATTCTCTCCTTCTTTCCTTGCGTCTTCTTGAGCTTTGAGAAGTAGACTGTAGAAATTATTGATGTTCTCTATGAAGAGGAATAGAAAATGCAACACATTTAGCTGTAATGACTCAGTTATGTTTATAAAGGTGGACTAAGTTTAAACTGGGCCCTGTTTCATAAAAACTTCTTGTCAGTAACAAATGCTAAATTTGTATGACAGATTTGCTCGCAGCCAATCAAATACCAAAATGTCATGCAGGGGCGTCAATCCTTTTTAAAAACATGGGGGGGGGGACACAATGGAGTAAAATAGAAAGTGGCGCTGAGGCGCAACGTTCCGCGCTTGCGCGGACAGGGGGGACGTATGAGGGGGGAATACTTGAAGACTTGCTCTCGTATTATACAAAATATGATAAAGTTGTGTGACACGAGCAACGGGACACAGTGCAATACTTGAGCTTCATGATAAAGGAGGTCAAAAACATGGGGGGACATAGGTCAAAAGGTAAAACGGCCTTAGTCACACGCTTGACTTAGGCCATTATACCAACAGGGTATGAGCAGCATGAAAATGTTTAATTCTGCACAAATGTCATTTAACAAATGTGGATAGCCTCATGAAGAGATGAATTGGGCAAAAATATAAATTTTTTCAAAATGTGACTTAGGCCATTATTTTAAGAAGGTGACGATATGGTACATTATCTGCATCAAGATGAACAAAAGAAAAGTTATACTATGATTAAAAGTGATGTAGGCACAACTAACGCCTGAAGTGGGAGGGAGGGGGGGGGGGGTTGAGTCTCTTTGCAAAATATACAATTTTAAAAGTTTGTGAGCAATTGAAGTGAGCTATCAAAAATTGAAAAATTGGTGTCGTGTTCTTTACAGTGAAAATGTCATTTATCAGATGACAGCTGCCCAAATATTGGAAATTTTTGAGTTCTCAAGGGAGCAGCAGATCCAAGCCACCCCTTGGCACCTCCCCCTGCCAACCCCAGTGGCGTTCGAGGATTTTCCACTGGGGGGGGGGGATTTGAAAATCGCGCCGACCGATATTTCGCTCAGTGGGGGGAGGGGGGGGGGAGGTGGGGAGGGAGGGGAGGGAGGGGGAAACCGGGGGAGGGGGAGCTGGTCTTTTTTTCCTTCTTTTTTGACCCCGGAAATGTGAAAATTGCGCCGACCAATATTTCGCTTATTGGGGGGGGGGGGGGGGGGGGGGGGTAAGGAGCACAGTTTTTGTTTTTGCCTCAACGGCACTCCTTTTTTTTCCTCAACCCCCCCCCCCCTCCCCCTTGAGCAGAACAACAAGAAAACTTTTTTTTGGCCGGGGGAGGGGGGCATTTTCAATTTTGTTTAAAGGTAAAATATTAACGTTACCATGTTTTTGTTTACCTGTTATTTTGCATGAGGGGGCCGGGCCCGTCGGACCACCCCCCATGGGTCCGCGCCTGGCCAACCCCTACCCACCACTGCATTATACTGTGATATATAAGTCTCTCACCCGGATCATAATGTTCTCTTGTTTCCTCCATCTGCAAATACAGGAAGCCAAACATCGTTTCCATGGTTTTCTTGATCATTCGTGGACCACCGGTGGGAACATACTTGGCCCAAGAGAAGAAGTCTGCTGCTAGACCTAATCCAAACTGTTCATTGAGGTCCTCGTTTACGTCCATCCACTGCACAACATTCGGGTCTTCCAACTCATAACTGCAATCCAATAATGATATAACCAGGCGTTATTTCTTGGAAGATACTTGCACAGGTTCACATTGCAACTGAATTTTAAAGTAGATTACTTTAGGTTTGGGATTTGGGTAAGGGTAATCTTGAAAATGAGCTGTGCCACTCGACTTCGTCTCAGGACATAGTGCAGTCTGAAGATTACCGAGGAGCTATAGTTACTACCACCCCCCCCCCAAAAAAAAAAAATAAGCAGCCAATATCTGTTTTTTATAAAATGGCTCTAGTATTTTAAGCATCGTGATTGGTCAATACGCGTCACATGACATTGAAAAAAAATTGATGCAAGCACGATTTTGCAGAAATGAGTGCAGAAAAAGCGCAGTAAAAAGTTATATTGCACGGTGCGTACGCGTGACCATGGAGATCCAGTGCGCGCGCGTACGTGTAGTACGCGCTCCCTCGAGTGCATTGCAATTATTGTAGGCTACGCGTAGCTAATACTGTACGCTCCACCATGATCCCCAGCGCAACGTACGCGTAGCTTAGCTCTAGCTAGCTAGATCAGAGCGGCCAGCGCCAGCGGGGTATTATTAAAAAGCAAATTTTTATTTTACTTTTGCCTTGGATTTAGGCCTGTTTTGACTTTTGGATTTTATAATGAAGCCTGGAATTTCAGCTGTCTGATGTAGACTCGTCTCTAGACCCACTGTATGGATTTTATTTTTAATCAAGGCAATGAATCCCATTGACTTTTTGGTAAGCCTGCAAGGTCTTAGTCTAGAAGTAGAACCAACATAACTCTAGATCTAGATCTAGATCTAGATCGAACTCTCGTAGACTCTAACTTATTAGATCTAAAGTTTCGTTTGTTGCTATTTGTGTCGCTATTTTATAAAACAAATAACGCACTTGACCCTGTTGTGCAAAACGTAAATGCAGTAAATGCTCGGTTTCTTCAGATGGTTCGCACTGTCAACTCGCCGCAAGCGGCTCGTTGCACAGAGCGGCACCAATCTAAAGAAACCTCGCGCGTACTGCATTCACCGCTATTGCACTCTGGGCCGTGCGTTATTTGTATAATATACTGCAACAGGGGCGGATCCAGCTGGCGGCAAGAGGGGGGGCCCAATCCGTGAGAAAATATTTTGCGGCGACTCAGCCAACCGGTGAATAAGCGGGGGGGGGGGGGGGAGAACTTGTTTTTGTTTGTTGTTCAATTTTTGAGGAAATATTTAGCGGCGATTCAGCAAGCCCGTGAATAAGCGGGAGTCGGGAGGGGGACACCTTTTTGCCAGGGGGAGGGGGGTGGGGCCAGGCCCGCCGGGCCCCACCCCAAGAGACTTTGAAGAAAAAACAAATATATGACGGTCAAAGTAGTTAATTATTCAAAAGAGTCTAATGAAAATTTATCCTCTAAGAGCATTGCGCGTCTCGCTCAGCGTATCCATTGCGTCTGTAGCGTCTCATTTATTCGCACTTTTATTGTTCATTCATGTTTCCGGTATTATTTCCAATACGCTACTCATTTATATTTACATTTATTTTTTCGGACCACGTGCATCTGGGTTCCGCGCATCGTTCACCCCTCATAATAGGGACTTTTAGATTTGCGTGGACTGATACGTATGACGTCCATTCAAGGCAGTGCATTAAAAGGACGTCGATCGTAGCAATCCCCATTGTCTTCGTGTGAATCTAAAAGTTTCTATTTTCAACACTACGAGGTTTTCTTCACTCCTGCATCCATCTTCAGTTGATTCACACGCCACGTCTCCTTGATCTCCTCTCCACACTCGAGATTCTTCCGTGCCTCATATACACCTCTTGCATGGCACGTCAGCCATAGTCACTGCAGTCTCCAGCGGGATGGCAGTCTTCCAGTGGAACGTATTAATCAGGACCGAACCAGCGCTTGATTCTCCACTGGAAGCTGCCAGGTAGTCACTTCGCTCCGATAGATCATCCTACACGAGCTCGATTCACTCTAGCTCGCCTGAATAGTTCGTCAACGAGTTCGAGTCACCGCAGCTCTGATGAACATTTACATCAAAGTTCGGCTCATCCGACTCATCGAGCGACTCACTGTACTGTATCGGCACCAACTTTGTTTTCATCATTCCCCTTTGGCCTCCGACATCTAGCGATTTACTGCTTCGTCATCGAGCGCCAAATCTTCTCTTCTCTTCTCGTCTGAGAGCTTCATCATCATCATCACGAGCGTCCGCGTCGACCTTGCATTCTTCCCCCTCTTCAGCCACGACTTCGAAGACGCGTTTCCGCCTTCAAGCCTCCGCATCTTCATTGCGTGAGCCCCTTCCTTCGTTTATCACCAGTCATCATGTTCATTGGACTTACGACTTCATTTCCTCTCTGTCGTTAGCTTTATGTATTCTCTGCATTTAGTCCATTCTCATTCAGTACACGATCATTTATCTCCGTACAATATCCTCGATTCTCATTCATGTCAATCTTATTCTGATCGAGTCATTTATATGCCTGACTTCACTTGCAAGTGTATAGTCTGCTTTATTTATACCTCAATAAAATAACGAAAAGGGAATACAGTTTATCATGTATTTTATTGTCAGTGCAACCTTGCTTAATTCCTCGTAGCTAAAAGAAATGTAGAGTTATGTTGTGTGATCAGTGAACACGCTTTCCAATTTCCATTCACAACACACCACACACTAATTTTTCTACACGTCCTCGCATTATTTCCCGCTATAATTCTGCCTAGCATTACAAATCGTACACACAACTGTATGGTATCCTCGCTCGCACAAAGAAACTTTTTACACGTTAACCAATGGGGATCTCAGCAAACGTGCATCTTTCTCATGAACTATTGACCGTTACCCGGATGCACCGGGCATCTTCCTCATGAATTATTGACCGTTACTGGCATTGATAGGTTTTTTACGGGCGTGGCTATAGGCATAATCACGATTCCAATTTTGACTAATCAGATGGCTAGATTTTTAAAGAGAGGTATATAATGTACGGTATTGACTGCAGAGCAATCGTCGCTAGAACACCGTGTATTACACAACCTGTAGAGAACTCATGTCTCTGTGAAACGGGAATGAACAAAAAGCATCCCAATATTATCATGGCAGTCATCTAGTTTCATATTTTCTTTTAAAAGACTAGTGTTTTTAATGATACTACATGTATTGTATTTTAATGGGCATTACAACATCAACAAAGCAAAACTAGATTGATCTTCGACTGTGTGCAGTCCAAAATGATGTTCCCGCCATACAGCGATTTTACAAACCAAAAAAGTATCTAAATATTCAAATGTTCGCAGAATGATATCGTGATTACAAGCTATTTTTGCATTCGTAATGAGCCCCATGACCTTTGATCTTTGACCTCGTGACCCCAAAAACTAATCAGTCCATCGGCTCTGCAAGATACATACATACATGATGATGACCCATGTTGGGCGGGAATCCATCAATCGGTTCTTGAGATAACGCGATCACGAGGACGGGACGGACGGACAACCCGAAAACACAATGGCTCCTGCTACTTCGTTGCGGAGGCATAAAAAAGAATAGAGAGTTGTCCTGCATCACAGTCGCATAAATATTATTAAATTTAAATTTAAATAACTCAATTTTCTTACCGTCTATTTAAAGTTTCTTCCAATTCAAATCCATCTGTACTGCTGATTTGTATGCTTCATAACAAGCTGATATTAAGATTTGCCTTTTGACTAAAAAACTACTAAATAAAAACCTACCCACGAGTATCAAAACCGTTTGAAAGAACTCACCTTCGTCCAAAGCACATCTGTGCGAGAACGTTGTACATGATCAGATTGACGAGAAACTTGGGGTCTATAGGTTGTCCCGCCGTCATGGCCAACTTCTTCTCAACCTTGGGGTAGACGCTGGAGATGAGGCCCTGAAGAGGCTTGCCCGTTGCAAAATGCCTGTGGGAGTAAGGAAGAAAGGAAGGAGGTGTCGTAGTCGAGTGATTTAATTGAGCCCTTGACTGGAAATGAAAAGGTCGTGTTAGGAATAATCCCAAAAGGAGTGGAGATAGTGCACACTGCATGTGTGCGAACGAATCTGATGACCGGGGTAATAATATCTGTTAAAGGTACTATGTCCCTTCTGCAGCTAACGTCGACTTCTGTAGAACTTTGCAGCAATTATGAATGTGTCACGTATTTCATATCTGTGACATTTAACGTTAGCAGTGTCCTAGTATTCAAATTATGCGTGGAACCCGTTAAGTTTCTAGACTTCCCTGTCAGACACTGACTAACATCTTTTTTTAATACGTATCAAATTGGTTTTCATAGTATATTTAAATTGGTTTTCATAGAAGCAGAACACTTAGAGAAACAATTCAGTGAAAGTTTGAGAATAATCGGAAAACAAATAAGAAAGCACGTTGACAAAGTAAAAAAAAAAGTGCTAAATAAATCCAGGTTTATTATGATTATCATTAAGAAAGTCCAAAGTAAACTTAATTCAGTCTAACGAAATCAAAACAAAATAAAATCAAACTTATTTCTCTAGTCACTTTTATAGACAGACGCCCTCTGAGTAACCAGTTGACTTGCTGATACCTCCACCACCCCCTCCCCCTAAAATTACAAATACATGAATGAAATATCTATATGTAAAAGCGATCTAGGACTTTGATCCATCAAACTTTTAAAAATGGACTTTAACCCCTTTTGAACCACTTGATCTTTGGACGACTATCATAAACAAATTTAAAAAATTGGACTTTAAACTTAGAATGCTCCGTTTCACTGATAAAATGGGCCCGTAATATATTCCATAGGTACAAACTTTATCATAAGGGTAACTGTTTCTGTTTCTGAAAGGAAAAAAAAAAATCAATATTCAACACTCAAATTTTTGGACAGGATTTGACTGCAGCCTGCACTGTTTCATAAAACCCACCACCCCATCTTTGTCCATAAACACAACTGTCAACCAATAGGGTATATTCTAATCTCAATCGCATTAACTCCATCACAAGGATCATTTGAAGTGAATTTAAGATTAACTTTTGAACTGACAAAGTCTCGTACACAAATATATAATTATTAACATACATATTGTTAGTACTGGTTAGTAATCATATAATCAATATATCTATTGCTAAAACGTGAATGTAATTGTAACAATGATCAGAAAACTTAATAATCTATTGGTCAATAATTGCCGAAGGAAAATAGAAATCACAAAATTGATATGCATTGTCACAATTTACTTACAAATCATGATAAATGTATTTTTCTGTGACACGTGTAAAGTAATAATGAATATGCATGAGATACATAGATCTGTTGGTTTCTATTGGTTTCAATTGGACCAATTGACCCCCATTTAACTCAGGGAGAATATTACTAATACTGATGGAGTTACCTTGGGTAAATGAGACATATTATTATTATCACTATTATTAAAGGCAGGTAGTCTTTCTACACAGGTGGTCGTTTGAGCAGGTCTGACTGTATTATACCTGTTCACCCTCCAATACACAGTTGAAGCTGATTACATGACAATGATCATGATGACACTCCGTATGTACACTGTATACAAAGACCGCTAATGGGAGACAAGCAAGGTGGTTTTTAAGGGCAGGTGGTCTTTATGTTCAGGTTCTGTAATTACGTATTTCAATGAGAAGCTACATGTGGCCTTAAAAAGCCGTGGTAATAATATGATTAATACTAATAGTAATAATAGTAATACAGCATTTGTTATGCGTCATCGATCTAATAAACTTTTCTGAGGCGCAGAGGGATTGAATTAGAATGAGATACATAGAGAAATGCTTACAGGGTCCTCAGGGAGAACGGTATTAATACTGATGAACCTACTTTTGGTAAACAAGACATACTATTATCACTATCATTATTATTATTATTAATATAAACAGGTATTCTTTCTCCACACAGGTCGTCGCTAAAGCAGGCCTGTCTGTGTTTTAGCTAAGTTTTACCTGAGAGCTGAGTGAGCCAACTTGCGATGAAGTTTCCAGGTCTCACTGTAAGGGCTAAAAGCAATATCCTTGAATCCTTCCGTAAAGATTTCCACTGAAAATTGAAATACATGAAAACACAATATCAGCAAGAATATACACCTACTTAAATATGTTAGCGTACATCCTTTTTCAATACATTCATTTTAACCCCTACTGTAAAGATCGACAGTGGCCGGCATTTATGATGCCCTTTAGGTCAACCAAATTTGATTAGCATTAATATATTGCTGGCCCAAAGAAAAAAATAAAATACAAGGATTATTTTCTTAATAAAGTTTTTTCAATTTTAAGCATGCAATACTATGGTGACTGCATGCCCCAACACCTCAAATGTCAATTCCTCCTCTCTAACTTTCTCTCTCCCACATATTGCTTTGTCTTTCTCCGAATCTGCATATCTTTGCTGCATATAACCTCTCTGCTCTTTCATCTGCTATCTGATGTTGCAAAGATAATTTCAGTATCTAAACATATATAACTATTAAAAAAAACATGATTATGCAACAAACGCAGAGCAACATTGTTATAATTGAGTAAAGTTGAAGAAGCGAAGGAGAGAAGGCAGGAAAAGCTAGAAAGGTAGCCGACTTGGATGGGGCTTGGATTACTACCTCAGTCATAGCATTAGAATAATGTTGATATTATACATACAGCACTCCGTCCTGGTGGTCCCTTATCATTACATCAGTCAAATCATAAAATATTATGTTTATTATTATAATTATCCCAGTCATAGCATAAAGTATTACTTGATATCATATAGCAATTCTGTAACTGTCTGGGGCTCCGACATTATTACCTCAGTCATAGTTAAAAATAGTATGTTGATATCCAACAACTATTATCCCTGTCACGGCATAAAATATTATGTTGACAACTTAAACAACCCTTATTCTATATAGTCATAGCATAAATTATTATGTTGATATTTGATTACTAAACCCTATCCACTTACTAGAGTAGAAATCTGGACGACCAGCAAAGTCCACGCTCTGTTTGAGGACGGCTTCCTTGATCAATGCTTGACGGTTGAGAACTACCATCCATCTCTGCCCCGCCTTGAAGCCAAAGACATCACCGTACTTCTTGGCCCATTCCCCAAATACAACCTCAGGAGAATCATTCATACCTGAAAACCAAAGGAGCATAACAAACATGAAAGAGTTAACTAACATTAAAATGTATCAAGATGAGATATCAAGAGGAGAAGCTGTATAAAACCTCAAACAATGACAGTAACAGCCAAAATAAGAAAGCACAAAACTTAGTCTAGATGTAGATCTGAAGTTCAATGGCAATATGAAAATCTAGTACCAAACTGTTTTTGAATACTTTCTTGTGAAATGGAAATGGGGTGACAAAAAAAAAAAAAACGCATCAACCCACTCTTACATGAAAGCACCGCTGCACGTTTTTCAAAGTAGGGTCAAGGGGCAGAGCCCCCGAAGCTCAGGTGGTATGGGCATCAGTGACGGATCCAGGAATTTCTTACGGGGGGGGGGCACAAAATGGCATGGGTGGAAATATATATAATACGATGAAGCGACAGAGGGAGGCTTTAGCGGCGAGGGAGCGGAGCGACCAAGCGGGGGTGGGTATGGCAGGGGGTTATGACCCCCTCCCAGAATAGGAAGCATTTGCAATTTTAGAACCACATTAGACGCATTTTCAGGCACTTCCTGGAGTAATATGACGTAAAATTTCTTTCTCCTACCCCCTCCAAGAATAGGGATCTTTTGCAATTTGAGAACCACATTTGGCGCATTAATGTTGAAGTTTGTGCAGCTGAATGGCTCTCGATCCACTCTGTGTATTTTCCTGCGATTTTGTTGGAATATCACTAGAAGTGGGTGCCTGGTAAATTAGGATCTACATTTGACTTACTGTAGATGCTGCCAACGATAGGCAGGCCTCTTGGACCAGGAGGAAATCGCTTTGGCCTCACGATGGTCCAGAGGGCCAGCGTAGCAGTTACCACTCCAAGGGTTGCTGTAATGGTCAGGGCATTAATCTGACCAAAGCCAGACTCTCCAGCTCCAAGCAGATCAATCATGATGGATTTTAATCAAGCTATATTAAAACAAATAGAAAAAAAAGAAGTTTCCATGGATTTGCATGATATGGTTCCTGCCGGTACATCATTAAAAATTGATTTAAATGGTAGAATACTTTAATGTCTATACGATAGCTCACTTGTACTGGACTTTTCTCAAAGCCAAAGTTATATCCTTGTAGGCTCGAACATTGGATAAGTGTGAAAAGCCAAAAGCAACCTGCCTGCAAATATAGAGCAAACGAAAAACAACTGAATTTTTCAAAAGGATTATAAGGTGGAACAAGCAAAGTGACCTTCCCCGACTCCTCCCGTAAGCACACTAAAGACATGTACTATCTTTTTCATGTGACAATGCAATGCCAGACGTATACAGTGACCGGGAATCAAAGGCCAACGCCTAAATTCCGTACTAGATGATGATTGATTGATTGATTTTATTCACCAAGTCTCCAACATACAACAATATAAAAGAATAACAGATCGAATTAAGTCAGCTTGAACAGGATAACACACGAAAGCTCTTGTCAGAGCTTATTTCCAGTGGGGTCCCCTACAAAATTATTAAGTTAAAGTCGTATTATCTACAGAAAGTTAAGAAAAAACTTATTAAAGATAATAATGATGATAGTAATAATAATGAAATTTAAATAATAATGATATAAATAATAAGTACAAGAAGCATAGGAAGATAAAAAAAGAAGAAGAAGAAGATGAGGAAAAAAAGGAAGAAAAAAAAAGACGGAGAAAAAGAAAGAGGAGGAGAAGGAGGAGGAAGAAGAGGAATATAATGATGAATATGTTGAATTTCTAAAAGGTACGAAAACATAAGTATATACAAAATTAAAAAGTATGAACCTGGCACAGAAGAGAAAAGTATTCTGTATTAAGGCTATATCAATGTCATTCGAATCTCTCTTCTGATTCCTTGAATTATCCCCTCGCCGACGAAGTCGGAAAGGATAACGATAACGATAACGATAAGGAAAAGGCGTTATATCAAATATCTTTTGGATGGATGGATGGATATAAACGCTGCCGTCCGTCCGTCACAAATCTGGTTTCCGTTCAATAACTTTAGTAATGTTAGATGAATGTTAATAAAATTTGATATGAAGGTACATGGTATCAAAACACAGCCTAAGTTCGATTTCAGAATAAGTAGGTAAAAGGCAGGGGGGTGCCCGACAGGACCACCCCTGGCAAAAATGGCCCCACAAAAGTTTGACAAAAATATGGTAACCACAAAAATGTACCTTTTTCTTTCTTTTTTCTGCTCAAAGGGGGGGGGGGGGGGAGGGGTGTTGAGTAACTCACTACCCCCCTTTTGTTTTAAATATATATGTTTAGTGCTCACTCACACCTTTTCTTTCGTAAATTTACCAAAGAGTAAGGCAGGAGAGACACTGCAGTAGTCATGTACACACAAAAAACAATACAAAAAGCACCTGTAAAAAAGAATGCACATTATTATACCATTGACCTAATTCGAATGGACGTTCGTCGTTTTGTTAAAGAATTCATTGTGATTGTCTCCGTCAATGTCGTTTTAATAACATTCCGTACATGTTTCTTCACTTTGATCTCTTGAGGTCTGCCACCAATAATGCTACGTTTACACTATGTTCCCGGTCGCCACGGCAACCCCGTTTCGGTCCAACGTGGACGAAACGGGATTGACGTGACACAACGAGGGGGCCCGTATGGGCGAACGTGACAGGCCGTGATTGCCGTGGATACCGTGTCATATTTTTTAACTGTCAATATATTTGCCACGGCAGTCACGGTGCGGATGAGAAACCTAGAAGGCCGTAGTAAAACGGGGTGAACGGAACACAACGTGACAGTCCTTAATAGGCCGTAACAAAACTTGGAGATGGTCCGTCCCAGGTCGAAATTCCTTTAGAAACCAGTAGAAACCAGTAGAGACATTCTAATGGTTTTACTGGTTTTCAAGAAACCATTAGATTCTAATGGTGATCAGGAGGAACTGTGAAGTAAAACCAGTATAAACCTTTACAAACCAGTAGACTGTCATGGTTTAAAGACCAGTAGAAACCAGTAAGATCTAATGGTTTGAACATGGATGCACAAATCTTAAGTCAAACCATTAGACACCTTTACAAACCAGTAGAGCCTAATGGTTTTGAAGACCACTAGAATCCGATAGAATCCAGTAGGATCTAATGGTTTTAACATGGGTGTAAAATCCTAAGTCAAACCATTAGAAACCTTAACAAACCAGTAGAGCCTAATGGTTTGAAGACCAGAAGAAACCAATAGAAACCAGTAAGATCTAATGGTTTGAACATGGATGCACAAATCTATAAGTCAAACCATCAGACACCTTTACAAAACCAGTAGAGCCTAATGGTTTTGAAGACCACTAGAATCCGATAGAAACCAGAAGAATCTAATGGTTTTAACATGGGAGTAAAAATCCTAAGTCAAACCATTAGAAACCTTAACAAACCAGTAGAGCCTAATGGTTTTGAAGACCACTAGAATCCGATAGAATCCAGTAGGATCTAATGGTTTTAACATGGGTGTAAAAATCCTAAGTCAAACCATTAGAAACCTTAACAAACCAGTAGAGCCTAATGGTTTGAAGACCAGAAGAAACCAATAGAAACCAGTAAGATCTAATGGTTTGAACATGGATGCACAAATCTATAAGTCAAACCATCAGACACCTTTACAAAACCAGTAGAGCCTAATGGTTTTGAAGACCACTAGAATCCGATAGAAACCAGAAGAATCTAATGGTTTTAACATGGGAGTAAAAATCCTAAGTCAAACCATTAGAAACCTTAACAAACCAGTAGAGCTTAATGGTTTTGAAGACCACTAGAATCCGATAGAAACCAGAAGAATCTAATGGTTTTAACATGGGAGTAAAAATCCTAAGTCAAACCATCAGACACCTTTACAAAACCAGTAGAGCCTAATGGTTTTGAAGACCACTAGAATCCGATAGAAACCAGAAGAATCTAATGGTTTTAACATGGGAGTAAAAATCCTAAGTCAAACCATTAGAAACCTTAACAAACCAGTAGAGCCTAATGGTTTTGAAGACCACTAGAATCCGATAGAAACCAGAAGAATCTAATGGTTTTAACATGGGAGTAAAAATCCTAAGTCAAACCATCAGACACCTTTACAAAACCAGTAGAGCCTAATGGTTTTGAAGACCACTAGAATCCGATAGAAACCAGAAGAATCTAATGGTTTTAACATGGGAGTAAAAATCCTAAGTCAAACCATTAGAAACCTTAACAAACCAGTAGAGCCTAATGGTTTTGAAGACCACTAGAATCCGATAGAAACCAGAAGAATCTAATGGTTTAACATGGGTGTAAAAATCCTAAGTCAAACCATTAGACACCTTTACAAAACCAGTAGAGCCTAATGGTTTTGAAGACCACTAGAATCCGATAGAAACCAGAAGAATATAATGGTTTTAACATGGGTGTAAAAACCCTAAGTCAAACCATTTAGAAACCTTAACAAGCCAGTAGACTGTAATGGTTTGAAGACCAGTAGAAACCAATAAAAACCAGTAAGATCTAATGGTTTGAACATGGATGCACAAATCTTAAGTCAAACCATTAGACACCTTTACAAAACCAGTAGAGCCTAATGGTTTTGAAGACCACTAGAATCTGATAGAAACCAGTAGATTCTAATGGTTCGAACATGGGTGTAAAAATCTTAAGTTAATTACCATTAGAAACCTTTACAAACCAGCAGATCGAGCCCATGTCAATGGATTTGAAAACCAGTTTAAACAAATAGAAATCAGTAAGATCTAGCGCCGCCTCTAAATCAGTCTGACTATATTTATTTAAAAACCCCAAAACAGGGATGAAAAACTCTAAAATGTCATTAGTCATTATATTAATAGTTTTATTTTACAGATTGTGCAACATCTTGACATATGCCCTGTAAGGTCTGCAATATTGATCAAGACTATACAAGCCCCAAAACCCCAAAATGCGACTGCCGCCTTTTTTAAACGGCTACATGCACAGCTGGCATCTCTCTGGGCTACACTAGCACTGTGTGTGTGTGCACATGTAATCAATGCATGCAGTGTGTGCGTGTACCCAGCCAGGCTAGGCCATGCCTTATGCACACACACAAGACAGCAAGACAGCCATTCCTATCCTCAACAGCTACAGGAGCCAGAGCAGAGAGACGAAATCTTGTTATTACTTTGTTTTTCCCTGCTATTCTTCAATATGGGTAAGTCTTAGATTTACCTAATTTATTTGCAATATGTGCAGTAACTGTTTTCTGTTTTGAAACGTAGTAATTAATGTATGATCGTGTCTACTAGGAGTGCTTTCAACGCCTGCCGCAAAGATGAGAAATGTATTGTATTGTCCCATCCATGTATTTTTATGTTAGATCTTGATGCAAGTTTGTGCATTCACCTACACATGGCTTTAAAGGCATCGTTTAACAATGTTAAATCTATGATGCATGACCCTACGTATTATCAGTGTCAGTGATATGGTTTAATATTGAAGCCCTAACAAAATTGCGCTTCAGAATGATCATGAACTTGATAAAGTGCCTCAAAAAGTAAAAATCTTTGACTTTTGAGTGACCGGTTTTACCATACTCATTTTCCCCAATAGACTGTAGTGTTATAAAACCATTGGGGAAAACGTTTTTTGAAATTTTGAATTCCAATCATAAATATCTTGATAATCAGACAAGCCGCCGTCCCCCCCCCCCCCCCCGCGCTTATCCCGAAAGAGTGCGTTAAGGCGGTACTCTGTTTCTGCAACGCACCCTAATTTCAAGACAAGCGGGGAAGGGGGCTTTAATCACTTTATGGTGTGTTCGCAGTTTCGCACAATATAAACAGAAGCCCTCAGCTGGAAATAAACAGCTAGACCCGTAAATGGTAAACAAAATTCCTCCCCCGCAGGCTGTACAAAGAAGTTTGTAGTAGGCCTACATGTATGTGTGTTGCACATGCATCAACCGTTCAATTTGTTTTAACTTT